GCTGAGTGCTTAATTCCTGCTAGCGTTTTGCTAGGTGCTGCGAACAGGAAGACCATCTTCTGGACCCGCGAGCTCACAGCGTGGCAGAGGAAGTGAGAAGTGAATGAGTAATTATAATTAAGATACAGTGTTGGAAGTGCACAGGATACAATCGAAACTCTGCGGAGTGGGCGACCCCACGGGGCCAAATTGGGGAAGGGCGGGGAGGATGGTTTGCTGTCCAAGTTTGTGGTGGGTCTCCAAAGATTCTGCGGGGGCAATTCACAGAACCAATCCTCGGAGGCCGTGGATCTTTCTTGGGCGGCTGTGGGGATGGAGCACGAGTGAACCCGGGATCCTTAGTGCGAAGGATGTTGGCAATATTTGGGTCCTATTTGAAAGATACGGGATGGAGTTTGCAGCCTGAAGGTGGGACGCCGGAAGGAGAGGTGAATAGCTTCCCTAAATTCTCCCCACTTTCTCACACAGGGCAGGAAAAAATATGGCGGTGGGGGATCGGGGTGGGGAAGCCTTTGGGAATCTAGCCGACCAAAACCCTCAGTTCATAGAGCTCTGAGATTCTTATTATTCTTCTCTCCCATCTGCACCCAACCGGAACTCTAGAGTCATAAGGCCTGGTTTTACTCCGGACTGGAAAAACAGATGGCCCGGCACAGGAAAAGTGGAGTACCCGGTCTGGAAAAGCGGGGAGTAGAGCGGAAGTCACTCTGAGGCGCAGTCAGGGGAGGCAAGTGAGCGCTCTCCTGGAGTTGGCGTGTCGGGACCTTGTGAGGGTGACAGGGTCCTAGTAGGTGAAGGGTAAGGGGGCTGTCGCACGGTCCCGATCGCTCCCCGACTGGGACTCTGGGGTTAGTTTTGCCACTTACTCGTTGTATGACCTCGGGTGATTTAATTTTGGAACCTCCATGTGTTTATCTCTGTAATTGGAATAATAATAGTACCTTTCTCATCGTTGTTGTGAAAATATCAATGCACTCAGAACGGTTTCTGGCACATCGTAAGCTCTGGATATACAAACTTCACTAATACTGCTCTCTTTTAGCCGCTTAGGTTATACTGCCAGGAAAACTCAGCAACTTCGGCTGGAGATCATCCAGTTAATGATTTTTACTTTATGTTTATCGGTAATAGAATGAAACAAAATACTTACAATTAAAGTTATATTATTAGAGAAGTAGTAACACTATTGATGAGTTGGAAAATAGTGAATAATATTACTAATAGTCCCACTGTCCTACACACTACTTTAAGTCTTTTTCTTCTTTTTTACCCCCAAATCTTTTTTGTCCATACATTTTTATACTTGTAATGTTAATGTGTATGTATTTTTTGTATATACTCCTCATTTGCCACTCACTAGTGTTACCTAAGTATGGTATTCATGAGAATTCGTGTTTATGATTGTACAGATTCCATTTTAAAGGCTTAACATTTATTTCCCAAATTTCTGTATATGTAGAGGTAAAAAATCATTTAAAGAAGTCAGGGAACTTTAGATATTACCTATGATTCCAGGACGTGAGATCAACTGTTGTTATTTCTCCTGGTTCCCTTCTATTTTTTGTCCATGTGAAAACATACCATTTACAAGTTGTTCATTTATTTTAGCAGACGTTTGAGCATCAGTTATGTTCAAGCCATAGTCCAAGATTAAAGTCAGGCTACTTAGGTAGACAGATAAAAGCAAGATTCTAATAGTATGTAAGGGCTGTGAGATGAATGCACAGGTTTTCATGAGAATACGGAGGAAGAGCAATGTCAGTGCCCTCCATTCAGAAGCCACCAGGAACATGTTTATAGCTGAGCAAGTTGGGCTTACTGTAGTGGAAGAGAATACATGCCCCGGAAGGCCATGGGGCATCTCATTTAAAGGGTGTTAGAAAGGATTTCCTGTTGGACTTAGGTTTCTGTTACATGATTTGGGGGAAAATAGTTGAGAGATGGAAGTAATTCTATGATTAGGAAAGAAGCTTATGTATCTAGAGTGAGGCTAATGCTATGACTGGTCAGGTATGGCAGTCACTTATATTAGCCAGGATAGTAGAATGTTTGGTCACTTTTGTCATTTTTGAGTGATGTGTTTTTTGTGTATCAGTCATGATTGTAGTTAAGAGCTGAGGGTATTTCCCATGAAAGTGAGAAGTGAGACCAAGGAATTGGATGCATTTTGAAGGGCCTTGTGTACCATTTTAGGAGTTTTAATTTCTGGACAGAATTGCTGAATAAGGGGAGTGCCATCATATTTAGAAAAATCCCCTTCGTTGCCAGTCAAAGCTTGGATTGGGAGAGAAGGAGGAGGTCAGAGTCAGAGAAATGAGTCAGGAATTTACTAAATCCTAAAGGGCGTTCTCTGCACCAGCAATCACCTGGGGACTTGTTAGAAATACAGAATATCAGGCCCCATCCTGTGCCCACTAAATCAGGATCTGCCTTTTAACAAAATTCCCATATGATTCAAGGCACTTTAAAGTTTGAGAAGCCTCTCCCCTCTTTTTAAAAAAAAGACTTATCTGTTTTTTGGCTGTGGTGGGTCTTCATTGCTGTGTGTGGACTTTCTCTAGTTGTGGCGAGCCAGGGCTACTCTTTGTTGTGGTGTGTGGTGGCTTCTCTTGTTGCAAAGTATGAGCTCCAGGCAAGGGGGCTTCAGTAGTTGCAGCACGTGGGCTCAGTAGTTGTGGCGTAGGGGCTTAGCTGCCTTGCTGCATGTGGGATCTTCCCGGACCAGGTATAGAACTGGTGTCCTTTGCATTGCAAGGTGAATTCTTAACCACTGGAACACCAGGGAAGCCCAAGAAACCCTTTGTGAGGGGAATTAAAATAGTTCTGGGAAGAATCACTAAAACCGTGAACCAAGACACTAGTGGTGGTGTTGGTGGATAAATATGGAGATATCATTTGTTTGACAAATATTAGAACCCTCCCGCATGTCTGGCACCATCCTGGGAGTTGAAAGTACCGCAGTGAAGATGGTCTCTCCCTTTAAGACACTTCCAGTCTGGCAGGGAGACTGACAGGGAACTGGCAATAAATGGTAGCAGAGAAAGCTTAAGCCTAGTATGCAGTGAGACCACATCAAAAGGCCTTGGAGGAGTTGAGTAATTAAGGGTTCTTTGAGGAGGTAATGGATGTCTGAGCTGAGTCCCAAAGGATAAATTAGCCAGCAGAAATCAGTAGAGGGCATTTCTGGCGTCGGAGCAGCAGTCTGCTAAGACGTGATGCCCGGACAGGGAGTTCTGGGGGGCAGTTTCTGGAACACAGGTGTTCTCTGTGATTAGAGCAGAGCAGGGTGTGATTGGAGGGAAGATTGGAGAGATGAGCAGAGGCTAGATCTGGAGGAGTCTCACAGACCCTGTGGAGAAAGTTGAGTTTTATTCTGAAGACCATGAGAGCCTCTGAAGAGTTTTAGTCTGAGAAGATAAAGAATCAGTTTTGTGTTTTAGGCCCTCTATAGATGCTGAGAGTAGTGGGGCAGATTGGAGGTAGGGGTGCACATCTGGAATGCAGTGACTTAGGAGAGAGGAGGTCATGAGCCATCTGATGTAGGGAGTGAGGGAGGAGGGGCAGTCTAGAAAGATGACCAGTCCTGTGTAGTAGATAGAGTGGTCTGGGTGCTATTTTGATGTACTCTTCAGCAACTGAGGCAGGTGAGCTGAATTGTTGGATCTGGGGCATTTTTGAAGCTTTTAAAGTTCTCAACATTCCATATTGTTTCTTAGTACTGTATTCTTACTAGTGGTTGATTTTTTGTTTTTGTTTCTTCTCTCTCCTCTCTGGTGAGAGAAAGATGGTGAAATTAGCATTGCATATTTTATTTCATTTTCAGGGTAGCTGGAATAAGTAGGAGAGGGGATTGTTAGCCTTCCTGGTTCTTGAAGTACTCCTGTCGGCAACCATTAAATGTTTTTGCAAGAGCAAAGTTGTTACTTCAGTAGAGACATAGAAGTTATATTATTAATGTTTTACATACAGAGAGCCAGCAGTGTCAAATGGGAACATTTAAGGCCCGGGTTCTTGTGCTTGCTTCCATACTGAGTAGCATTGTAATCTTGGGCAGGTTACTTCCCCTGTTGGTGTCTTATTTCCTTCTGAAAGGAAATATCTACCTGACTGTTTTACAGGAGGCTTATGTGGGTTAAATGAGATAATATTTGTCAGGGTGGTTTGAAAATAGTAAGAATGGCATTTAAATGTAATGGTATTATTGCTACTATGGTTTAGGTTCTGTCTTTGAGGACCTCAAATACTGACTGATAGTTAAAACCTTGTTACTCAAAATATGGGCCTTGGACTAGTAGCTTATTAGACGTGAAGAATCTTGGGGATCTTGTCAGACTTAACTGGATCAGAGAACCCTTTTATAGCCATCAATCCATCTGATCAACAGAAGAATCCCTTAAGGTAGGTAGGGGAGGTGTTATCGCAGCCTTTCCCCCAAGGAAATGAAGACCTCAAAAGATTAACTGTTTTTGCTTTGAGGGTAAACAGTTCTAGCTGTGCAGTCTTCTGATTCCACATACAGACTGTAATCTGTTCTTTTTATAGAAGAAGTGCTAAAATGTCAGTTAGCCTCAATCCTGGAGTGAATTAGTTGAATATTTTATTTTAGGAACCAATTATTTCTTTTAAAATGTAGCATAAAAATTTGCTTTAAAGTTGATAACTACCTTTTGAAGCACATTCTTGAATTATTTTGGGGCTGATCATCAACTCCATGAAGGAGGTTGTGTTTCTGTTCATCTTGGCCTATTTTCACAAAGCAGTGGGATGTATTATATACAGTGTAAACTTTTTTCTCCTCATAGTAAATATTTATAGAATTAGAAAATAACTTAATGAATTTCACAGTACATGATCCATGTTGAATTTAAAATTATGATGTATTCGTTGGTATGCTAGTAACTCTTCACTGTCTCTTTTATTATAGGTGGAATTGGGCTATTTGCTGAAGCTTCTTTCACTGGTAGCCCAGGAAAAAATTTACATTTTGATTTTTTTTTGTCATGGCTTCGGTTCATAAATTGTTGAATGGCACTTATATTCTCAGAAAATGCCTGAAGCCAAGAGTTGTCTTTAGTCCATTTTGGGGTACTCACTTTGCAGACTATTGTTCCAGTAGTTTTCAGAAACCAGTGGCTGCTCCTGGCAAAGCCTCTTCTCAGAGGAAGACTAAATGGAATTTGGAAGAACACCACCAGAGAGAAGTTGCTTTGGAAATAACTTCTCCTGAGGACAAGCCTGAAATTAGTTTTGATAAAGCAATTAAAGAAGAAATGAAGGGCCATTTTAGGCATTTGAAGGATGATATTGTGAATTATTGGATAGGGCCTGAAGGCCGCCCTCTGCATGAGGTCTTGATGGAACAAGCCAAGGTTGTCTGGCAATTCCGTAGCAAAGAAGATTTGGATAAGTGGACAGTAACTTCTGATAAAGCGATTGGTGGCAGAAGTGAAGTGTTCCTGAAAATGGGCAGGAATAACCAAAGTGCACTGCTGTATGGAACTCTAAGCTCTGAGGCGCCCCAGGATGGGGAAAGTGGCCGAAGTGGGTACTGTGCAATGGTATCCAAGATTCCAAGGGTATGTGAAATTCAGGAGCTGCAGTTTTCTGGTGAACTGAGGTGGACTTCATTGTAGCATGAGCTGTAACAGACAGCTTTTATTTCTATAAATGAAAACATCTGGCATCTCATCTTGTGTATGGTTAAATAACTACTGGGCACAAGTGTGAAGTTTCATAAACACAAGGGGGAAGTGGTTCCTGAAGAGAGGCTACATGTTTCTGGACATCATTATCGGCCAGGATGAGGCATACTTACGTTTGAGGAGCCCTGAGGAGGATAGACATTTAAAATCTAGGGAGATTTGTATCTCCTCTAACATAGCCCACAGACCCTCTCGTGGCTTGGTGTTCCTTAGAGTGGGAAGTAGGGCCAGCCTGTGCATTTTTTTTCAAGTAAACTATTTCTGTGACAGTTTCTTAGTCTTTCCTTATTTTTCTTGAGGATTTGAGAAATACTGGTCAGGTATTTTGTAGAATGATCTTCAATTAGGGATATTCTGATTTTTTTTCCTCCTGGTTACACTGAGTTTCTAGGTTTTAGGAAGAATAGCATAGAGTTGAAGTACACTTCCCTTCATATCAGGGGTATATGCTAGCAACCTGACTCATCACTGATGTATTAATGTTGGTCACCTGGTCAGGGTAGTGTTTGCTAGATTACTCCATTTTTAAGTATTTACCCTCCCCCCCCCTTTTTCATATTCTGTTCTTTGGAAATAAGTCACTGAGTGTACCCTGCATTCAAGGCGTGGGGTAGGGTACGGGATTAAGTTCTATATCTTGGAAGGGGTTGTATTTTCATAAATTATTTGAGATTTCAATTCTTCACAAAGGAAGATTTTTTTCTTCTCCCACATTTATTTATTTATTCAGTCATTTAGAATGGACTTACACTTTGGGTTATGATCCAATACCATGTTATTTATTTTTTTGTTCAAATTGTTCCATCTTTGGCCACTGGGAGCTCTTTCAGACTATACCTATCCCTTTGACTTGCCACCATCCTTTTGTTTTTTGAGCACTTTTTGGCACTACAAGATACCATAGCTCATTTTGTGTTTTTCTCTGTTCCAACCCTAGAATTAGCCGTTTCTCAAAGAAACCCTCATTTTTGTTGTTGTTTTTTAAATGGTATTAGAAACCAAGATCTGTATTGACACTATATTTAGGACCTCTCAGTGGACACAGCTAGGAAATACATGTATGCATATCAGCTTGTGGAAACACGTCTGTAATTATTTGTATATAGTAAGCTAAGTACGAGTTCATACTGATGCTTTGACTCTAATCCAGTACCACATGATTTACTCTTGCCTCCTCCCTCTTTTGTGTTGATAACTTCGGTCTGTAAAGGTGTGAAACCTGTATCCCACCATTTACCATACATTTACTTATTAATTTAACCCTACATGAAAAGCCATTTCAAAATTTATAACCCAGAACCTTGTGAGAATCATCTTTACCAACCAGCATACAATGCTTATGTATAGTATTCTTTGTCTTTAGCCTTCTGGTTTCCAGTCAGAACTCCATTTTCCAAAGCTGCTTAGGTCAGCTCCTTTGTCTTGCCACCAGTCTGTTGCTTTTTTTTTTTTTTTTTTTAGTTGGAGGCTAATTACTTTACAATATTGTAGTGGTTTTTGTCATACATTGACATGAATCAGCCATGGATTTACATGTATTCCCCATCCCGATCCCCCCTCCCACCTCCCTCTCCACCCGATCCCTCTGGGTCTTCCCAGTGCACCAGGTCCGAGCACTTGTCTCATGCATCCAACCTGGGCTGGTGATCTGTTTCACCCTAGATAATATACATGTTTCGATGCTGTTCTGTTGAAACATCCCACCCTCGCCTTCTCCCACAGAGTCCAAAAGTCTGTTCTATACATCTGTGTCTCTTTTTCTGTTTTGCATATAGGGTTATCATTACCATCTTTCTAAATTCCATATATATGTGTTAGTATACTGTAATGGTCTTTATCTTTCTGGCTTACTTCACTCTGTATAATGGGCTCCAGTTTCATCCATCTCATTAGAACTGATTCAAATTCTTTTTAATGGCTGAGTAATATTCCATGCTGTATATGTACCACAGCTTCCTTATCCATTCGTCTGCTGATGGGCATCTAGGTTGCTTCCATGTCCTGGCTATTATAAACAGTGCTGCGATGAACATTGGGGTATACGTGTCTCTTTCAGATCTGGTTTCCTCGGTGTGTATGCCCAGAAGTGGGATTGCTGGGTCATATGGCAGTTCTAATTCCATTTTTTTAAGAAATCTCCACACTGTTCTCCATAGTGGCTGTACTAGTTTGCTTTCCCACAAACAGTGTTAAGAGGGTTCCCTTTTCTCCACACCCTCTCCAGCATTTATTGCTTGTAGACTTTTGGATAGCAGCCATCCTGGCATGTAATGGTACCTCATTGTGGTTTTGATTTGCATTTCTCTGATAATGAGTGATGTTGAGCATCTTTTCATGTGTTTTTTAGCCATCTGTATGTCTTCCTTGGAGAAATGTCTGTTTAGTTCTTTGGCCCATTTTTTGATTGGGTCATTTATTTTTCTGGAGTTGAGCTGGAGGAGTTGCTTGTATACTTTTGAGATTAATCCTTTGTCTGTTGCTTCGTTTGCTATTATTTTCTCCCAATCTGAGGGCTGTCTTTTCACCTTGCTTATAGTTTCCTTTGTTGTGCAAAAGCTTTTAAGTTTCATTAGGTCCCATTTGTTTATTTTTGCTTTTATTTCCAATATTCTGGGAGGTGGGTCATAGAGGATCCTGCTGTGATTTATGTTGGAGAGTGTTTTGCCTATGTTCTCCTCTAGGAGTTTTATAGTTTCTGGTCTTACATTTAGATCTTTAATCCATTTTGAGTTTATTTTTGTGTATGGTGTTAGAAAGTGTTCTAGTTTCATTCTTTTACAAGTGGTTGACCAGTTTTCCCAGCACCACTTGTTAAAGAGGTTGTCTTTTTTCCATTGTATATCCTTGCCTCCTTTGTCGAAGATAAGGTGACTATAGGTTCGTGGATTTATCTCTTGGCTTTCTATTCTGTTCCATTGATCTGTATTTCTGTCTTTGTGTCAATACCATACTGTCTTGATGACTGTGGCTTTGTAGTATAGTCTGAAGTCAGGCAGGTTGATTCCTCCAGTTCCATTCTTCTTTCTCAAGATTACTTTGGCTATTCGAGGTTTTTTGTATTTCCATACAAATTGTGAAATTATTTGTAAAAATATGGAATGCTTCACAAATTTGCGTGTCATCCTTGCACAGGGGCCATGCTAATCTTCTCTGTATCGTTCCAATTTTAGTATATGTGCTGCTGAAGCGAGCACCAGTCTGTTGGCTTTTTGCAAATTTGCTGATCAGCTATTGTTTCAGGGCTGCTCTGGACAGGCTCCCGTGCCTGGTAGTGGCCACAACCATTGTGTGTTTGCTTGGTTATGGTGCTTTAAAGAGAAAAGCAAATGGTGGGAATAGTATTAGGCCCCCTCTCTCAAGATAATCGTGAAAAAGAAAGGAAAGTGTTCTTTCAGCAGTAACAAACTTGCACAGAAGATTTTATTTCAGGCCTTGAAAATCCACAGAATGGATTTGGTCAGTCCACAGTAGAAAATAATTCTGTGATAACCTGTGGAATAATGAAAATAGTTGATAACATTGATAAGTGTACCCTGCCAGTTCTTGTGCTAATTACTTTATATACATTATCCCTTTTATTCCCCACATCAATCTTGTAAGGTATAACCATCTCACTTTTACAGATGAGGAAACAGGCTTGGGGAGATTCTGTAGTTTGTCCAGAATTGTATGACTAGTAAGTAAGAGTTCATATCTGAGCATTGGTATTCTTGAAATCAGATGAGCTCTGAAGTAACAGACACCTTTGGGAACAAATACTACATTCTGCTTTCAAAGAGAGACCATTTAGGCAGTGTTTAAGAACATAGATTTTGGAGTTAAAACAGCACTGGACCTACCAGTTATGAGTTGAGTGCTCAGTTTCTTCATCTATAAGTTGGAAAACAATGATATTACCTATCTCATAGGGCTATTGTGAAGATTAAATTATGCATGCCCAGTGGTTAATGTACATTTTCAATGGATGGTAGCTGTTAAAATAATACTGGTTTTAAAAATTGAGGTCTAGAATTCCCTGGCAGTCCAGTGATAACGACTCTGTGCTTCTACTTCAGGGGCACAGGTTTGATCCCTAGTCAGTGAACTAAGATCCCTCATGCTACGTGGCCAAAAACAAAAACACAACTTGAGGTGTTTCATAGTTTTCTGATTTAAGGGAAGGCAGTTTCAGTAAAATGGCCCACTCAGAAGCCATTGCTCTCTAGGCCCAGGGAAAGAAAATACACGGAGTAATTCATTTCTGTTCAGTGACACAAGTGTCTATCCCATGTAAACATTGTCCTGTGCAAATCATGCCTTGAACATTAACTTAGAAACATTTAACTAGGTCAGTATTCTGTGCTAAAATAAGAATCACCAGATTTATCTGCCTTCTTAAAGTGGTAGAAAGCAGAAAAATGGCTTATTGATCCCTTTGATGCTGTAGAAGGTGATGGTGACTCACATTTTGCTAATAGTGGGGAATGAGGTGAAATTAACGTTCTTTTCTGTACCTTAGGGCCCTTTTGAGATGAAGAGATCTTATGATTGGTCCCACTTCAACACTCTGTATCTCCGTGTCCGTGGAGATGGTCGACCTTGGATGGTGAATATCAGGGAGGACACGGATATAATCCAGAGGAAGGATCAGATGTACAGTTACTTCATGTTCACCCGTGGGGGGCCCTACTGGCAGGAGGTCAAGGTAACAACAGCACCAGTCTTTTCTTGTATGAAAATGAGGGCTTTTGGTCATGGTTACATTGTAGTTTTCTTATTAATTCCTCTTGGACTGTGGGAAAGGAAAGAAGGAAGAGGACCTAAAGACAATATTTACATAATTGATTTTTTTCTTTCATTAATATAAATGTTAGCTTACTAATCAGTAAATACTTTAAAAAAATTTTATTTATTTTTTATTGCGCTGGGTCTTCGTTGCTGTGTGGGCTTTCCCTAGCTGCGGTGAGCAAGGACTACTTTTCATTGTAGTGCATGGGCTTCTCATTGTGGTGGCTTCTCTTGTCGTGGAACATATGCCTTAGAGTGTGCGGGTTCAGTACTTGTAGCTCTCGGGTTTAGTAGTTGTGACGCATGTGCTTAGTTGTTCCACAGCTTGTGGAATCTCCCCAGACCAGGGATCGAACCCAAGTCTCCTGCATTGGCAGATGATTCCTATCCACCATACCACCAGGGAAGTCCTCCAGTAAACACTTTTGATAAGGGTATGGCCAGGTCCATGCAGAGTTATAAGTATATCTCTGCCCTGTGCACAAGTACTGTAGGTGATTCTTTTTAAGTTCCTGCCGTATCATCTCTTCCAGGCAACTGTACCTAGCTAGTGTCCCTAGTTGAGTAGAAAGGCTCCCTTAAGAGGAATAAATACTTCATACTTTATGTTATCAACATTTTTATTCTATTTGTTTCTTGGTACTATAATGCAGTCGTATTTTGTAGGGAGAAGAAACTTTTAGAAGGTAAAAAATGTTAACCCGAAAGGAAATAAATGGAGATTCAGGGAATGAGGGCAAAACCAAGTGTGCATTCCTTTCTTCTGTCTATTGAAGGTTTTTTTAATCTATAAATTAAAAAAAATTCTCCATTTTGCTCATACTTAAACCTAAGAGTCATCCTGGATTCCTTTTACCCCAGCCCATATCTAGTCTATTAATGAATTCTTTCACGTCTCCTTCCAAAATACCTGTCTGTCTATTTCTAGCTATCTCTTCCACTCTTACCTTAGCTCAGGCCTTGGGATTACTGCAAGAGCTTCTTTGTCCTCTTACCTCCTAAAGTCCACTGTGCACACAACAGCCAGAGTGATCTTTCTAAAACATAATTCAGATTACATCACTCACATGCTTAAAACCCTCCAGCGACCTCTCCTTATTAGAATACAGTCCAAACTCTTTAACATGACCATGGGGTCTGTAGTAGCAGACCCTGTCTTCATCTTCAGTCTCTCCTCCTTCTGCTCTCTTCCATATGGCATCTTGTGTGTGTGTCAAACTCATATTTACTTCTGTCAAAACCTTTGTGTTTCATGCTGTATCCTATGGGCATGCTCTTCATGTGCTTTCTCCTTCTTATCATTCACTTCTCAGCTCAAAAGTCACCTCAGAGAGGCCCTTCCTGATCCCTCTAGCTCGAGTTGCCTCCTCTCACACAATAATAATATCCTGTTTAATTTTTTTCTTAGAGCTTACCATTAAGTACAAGTATTTGTTCATTCAGTTGTCTGTTTATTGTCACTGTCCACTCTGCTCCTCTGGAACATAAATTCTGTAAATTCTGAGAGCAGGGACTTTGTATTGTTCATAGCTGTTTCCCTTGTACCTAGAGCAGTGCAGTGCCTAGCATATAATAGGCATTAGATACATATCTGAGCTGCCGAGGTGGCTCAGTGGTAAAGAATCCACCTGCCAATGCAGGAGACGCAGGAGACGGGTTTGATCCTGGGTTGCGAGGATCCCTTGGAGGAGGAAGTGGCAATCTACTCCAGTATTCCTGCCTGGGAAAACCCATGGACAGAGGAGCCTGGTGGGCTACAGTCCGTGGGATCAAAAAGAGCTGGAGGCTGACTGAGCAACTGAGTGCGCATACACATAGATATGTATAATATAGATATGTAACCAAAAATTACTACATATATAACACTTGTATGCAAGTAATGCATATAACAAGTTATTAAATAAAACAAGTATTTCCTTATAGAAATTCTAGAAAATGCAGAAAAGGAAAATAATCTTGTGTTACCATTACCCAGAAATAAAATACTATTTTTATTTTAGTATGTACCTTCAGACTTTTCTATTTACACTTTTTTTTACAAAAATAATATTGTGCCAGTGCTATTTTATAACATACATTTTTCACTGAACTGAATTTTATGAACAACTTTCTGTTGAAATGTATTTCTACATCAGTTTTAATATCTGCATAAATGTAAATAGACACTATTTAATCCATTCTCTATTGTTGTGCATTTAGATTGTGTTCAGTGTTTTTCACTGTTACATCAAACTCTGAGGTAATATCCTGAGTTATTTTCTTAGATGTTTTCCTGGAAATAAAATACCTAGAAAAAAATGATACATTTTTAAGAGCTTTGATGCACATTGTCAAATTATTCTCTAGTATCATTACCATTTAATCATTAGCAATTACTTATTACTTTCTTTCCTGAAGTTACATGTTCTGATCTTCGGCTGGAAATAATAGTTGTTTGCAACACCTTTCTTTAAATTATTAAGGGAAGTATTGGGGAAGAGATTTTTAAAAATTAAATGTCATTAATTGCTGTTTACTTCTTCATGTATAATTCTCCCTTAGTAAATAGAAGTGAGATGCTCAAATATTTACACTGATTATAGAAAGAAAACAGAGGAAAGTAATGGAAAAATTATGCATGCTAGTATCATTTGTAGAGAGAAAACAATTCCTTATCCTTTTCTTTTTTTTAAGCAAATCGTACAGATTTAATTCTCCTTGTTAGCTTCATTTTTTTCCAGGCTAAAAAATTCGCTTGGTGTGGACAGTGATCTTATCAAATTATGTGACAAAAAGACAAAAGGTTGGGGGAGGGGGGTGGGTGACACATACTCCTTGAATACATTTTGAATAATGAGGTAGTTGAAGTGCCAAACCAGGATGCAAAATGAGAAACTGGGGTGGGGATGGGGGTGTCCCTTCCAGGTTTGTTTAACAGAAATGAAGGGAGCAGGTGAAATGAGGATGTGACTGCACTTGAATTTGCTTTCTGAATAACATGATCTTAGGCAATGGTGGTTTATTAAATGAACTTTGAATTGAGTTTGTTTGCTTCCCTCATAGCTCAGTTGGTAAAGAATCTGCCTGCAATGCAGGAGACCCCGGTCTGATTCCTGGGTCAGGAAGATCTGCTGGAGAAGGGATAGGCTACCCACTCCAGTATTCTTGGGCTTCCCTTGTGGCTCAGCTGGTAAAGAATCCACCTGCAAAGTGGGAGACCTAGGTTCAATCCCTGGGTTGGGAAGATCCCCTGGAGAAGGGAAAAGCTACCCACTCCAGCATTCTGGCCTGGAGAATTCCATGGACTGTAATAGTCCCTGGGGTCACAAAGAGTTGGACACAACTGAGCGACCTTCACTTTCACTTTATGTCAGCAAGTGTTTTGGGTGATAAATAATCTGAATGTTTTGTTTTTTAATTCACTTCTTTTGGTTAAAAAAATCAAAATAATATAGATATATGTACAAAGAATTCTCACTCCCATTCAGTTTCCTTCTACCCTTCCCCCCTACCCTCTATAGGTAACCATGTTTATTAGTTTCTTGCATAGGTTTACAGTTTTTTTTTAATAAGCAAATATATATGCACATATACTTCACTTTTTTTTTTTTACTAAAAATAGTAGTATGCTTTATGCACCTTCTTTACAGGTTTATATTTTTAAAATTTAGATCCTGGAAAGATTCCATATCACTATATGTAATTATTCTTCATTTTTTGTTATTTTGTTTGGTATTTTCTGTTATGTGGGTACCCAATAGTTGATTGAAATAGTCCTTTATTGATAGCCACTAGGGTTGTTCCCAGTTGCTACAGTAAATTTATTAGTTTTTTGGAGGCATTTCAAAAATTTCTTTTTAGGGAAACTCTCTGGCAGCGCAGTGGTTAGGACTTAGCTTTCACTACCAGGGCTCGGGTTCAGTCCCTGGTCAGAGAGCTAAGATCCGACAAGCTGTATGGCATGGCCAAAAAAAATTTTGTTTTTTATAACACAGATGATGTTTACACTGTAGATTTTGTCAATATCTTCCTTCTTACTAATAATATATTGCAGACATCTTTCCACAGCATCAGGTATAGATCTATTAATACTGCATTTTTTATATTAGCCGTATAGTATTTAGTTATATGATTGCACCATAATTTATTCAACTATTCCTCTTTTTCCTTTTTCTGTCATCGTTATTAGAAAAAGCAGCATCTTTATGTTTGTCAGAGTTTATCTGTAATATAAATTTCTAAAAGTGAAATTGGCAGGTCAGATTATAGCATTTCAAATTTTGTGAGGTATTGCTGTTAGTTTCCTATTGGCTGTATTAAAAATACCACAGACTTCACAGCTTCAAACAACGTATTTGTTAGCTCACGTTCTGTAAGTCACAGATTAGACAGGCTATGGCCGGGTTCAGTGCTCAGGGCCTTCTAAGGATGATATCACAAGGTGTCAGCTGGGCCGTATTCTTCTTGGAGGCTCTGGTGAAGAATCCACTTCCAAGCTCATTCTGATTATTGGCCTGATTGAGTTCCTGTGGTTGTAATGATATCCTTGTTTCTTTACTGGTTGTCAGCCGGAAGCCACTCTCAGGTCCTGTAAGCAGCCCACACTCTTTGCCATTGAGCTCCTCCGTCTTCAAAGCCAGCAGTGGAGAATCTCCCTCACTTCCCCCTTTGAGTCCCTCTGATGCTTCTAACCTCCTTGACCAGGCATTTTTATGAGCTCAAGTGATTGTCACACCTACAGAGGATCATCTTCCCTATGTTAAGGTCAGCTGATTTGGGACCCGACTTCTGTGGAGTCCCTTCACAGCAGCACTGAGATTAGTGTCTGAATGTCTGAAGTGTATGTGCACTGAAAGGTGGAAATCTTGGGGGTCATCTTAGAATCCTGCATGCCACAACTCTCAGCTATTCTCTAAGAGTTGGACTAATTCGCCGTCCTCCTAACGGTATACAGATGTGCCTGTTTCTCCCGTCTCCATTTTTCTTTTGGGTTGTTTGATCTTTTTCTTAGTTATCTGTAAAAGGTTTGTGTTTAGGATACCTTTTTTTTTTTGCCATCAGAAAGTTGTAATTGTACTCCTTTATTTTTTCCTTTGGGACTTTTGGCTTGCAAAGGTTTACAGTTGTTTTCTTGCAATACTTAGATTATTTCATTAAAATTTTTTTCCATCTGTGATCCAAACGACTAAGCCACTTGTTATATAATGTTAGATAATTTTAGAATTAAATTTAAAGCATTATTATTTTATCATTGCAGTTCTATACAGATGCTTCAGTTGCTTACATTTCAGCTTTGAAGTCAATGGTTTTTTCTTTCAGATTCCTTTCTCCAAATTTTTCTTCTCTAATCAAGGAAGAATCCGGGATGCCCAGTACCAGCTTCCGCTCGACAAGGTAACATTTTCCTGTATTTTCACTCAGAACTGTATTGCACGTGTGCTTAGTTGTGTCTGACTCTTTGGGACCCCATGGTCTGTAGCCCACCAGGCTCCTCTGTCCATGGGATTTCCCAGGCAAGAATGCTGGAGAGGGTTGCCATTCCCTTCTCCAGGGGATCTTCCCAATGCAGGGTTGAAACCTGAGTCTGTTGTGTCGCCTGCATTGGCAGGTGAATTCCTCACCACTAGCACCACCTGGGAAGACCATATATATTCAGTTCAGTTCAGTCACTCAGTCATGTCTGACTCTTTGCGACCCCATGAACTGAGCATGCCAGGCTTCCCTGTCCATCACCAGTTCCTGGAGCTTGCTCAAACTCATGTCTGTTGAGTTGGTGATGCCATCCAACCATCTCATCCTCTCTCGTCCCCTTCTCCTGCCTTCAATCTTTCTCAGCATTAGGGAAAGACTGTATATTACCTTTAGTGAAATAGAACTGTGAGGATTAGTTCAGTTCATCTTTGAAGGCTGGCATATGAAAGATGAAAATTCCTATTTAAGTATACTCCTGTTATACCTAGACAGATGCTGACTCAGAACTGTCCTGTGAACCAAACCCCTTGCTTGGAGGAATTTCAGTGTGGTCGTCTTTTCAGCATGCCTACATTTTACTTTAGCTTTAAAATAGAGTTCAGGGGAGCTTCAAGGAACCTCCATTAGACATCCATTTTTACTTATTAGTTTTAACTGGCACTGTTTTAAAGAGAGAAGTAGAATATGGGAAGAAAAGCAGTCATGTACTTCTTTTTATAATTTGCCACAGTACTTGAGTACTATGGTATAACATGTTAAGGGCTGATAGTATGTACACGAAGCTATAGTAATTATGGAATTTTAAAACTCCAGGGACAACATCAGCATATGAGATTTTGATCAATTTCTCTGTTTTAAATTTAGATCTCATCTATTGGATTCACCCTGGCTGATAAAGTGGATGGTCCATTCTTCTTGGAAATAGATTTTATTGGAATATTTACAGATCCGGCCCACACAGAAGAATTTGCCTATGAAAATTCTCCAGAGCTTAATCCAAGACTTTTTAAATAGTGATCATGTGGTATTTCTCTATTGCTGAGGGTAGTAGAATCCAGTGACACAAAAATAAAGTATTTTTTTAAATGGCATCCAAACAGTGGCTGGTATGTCTTCCCTAAGACATAGCTAAATGCTGCTGTTGAGAGGAACCAGGATTTAAGTGATACCTTAACTTAAAGAATGCAACTAATGATGCAGAGGTACTGTGTAAACAACTGTTTTGGGTTAGAATGACTCCTGTTAGGAACAGTTCCTATACTAGTAGGTGGCTCCCAAAACAGGGAGGCTCTGAGGTTGATGGCCTTCTACCATTCTACTCCCTATGCATTTGTTTTCTAATCTAGTTATCAGGAGAGGAGACTGCTGAAGAAGACATTAAGATAAAGATGCTATAGAAGTCACTGGGAAAAAAATACCTGTTTTATTCTGCCTGGGCTGCTGTAACAAATTACCATAGACTAGGTGGCTTAAACGAAACACATGTGTATTTCTTCCAGTTCTGGAGGCGGGGAAGTCCAGTATCAAGGTACCTGCCTACCTGGTGTCTGGTGAGTGCTTCTTGGCTTGTAGACCGCTGCTTTCTTACTGTATCCTTACATGGAGAGAGCAAGTCCTAGTCTTTTCTCTTCATATAATAGCATTAATCCTATCATGAGGGCTCCACCCATGTGACCTGATTACCTCCCAAAGGCCTCCAAGTGCACCTCCAAGTACCAAGTCACATTGGGAATTAGGACTTTCAACATATGAATTGGGAGGGAGTGGTGGACACAAACATGCAGTCCATAACATCTACATTGCTGGTGCTCCAAAGATGCATGATCCTTAGCTGCTTCCCCAGTCATTTTAAGTATTAGAGATTGCATGTGCCAGAAACAAGACCCTGATTAAATTTAAACTGATCAGTTCTTGTCCTGTTAGAGGAGATAGGAAACTATATGATACAGCCAGAGTATCCTATGAGAGCCAAGTTTCAGATGAGAATACACAAGGCTGACAGCTTTTCCATCATGTTGGCCTAAAATATTTTCATGTAATTATTTGTCTTTATCAGCTTTATTGAGATATAATTTACATAACAAAGTTCATCTGTTTCAAGTATATAAATTCAATGATTTTTGAGGGGGGGCCATACTGTACAGCTCGCAGGATCTTAGTTCCCCAAACAGGGATTGAAGCTGGGGCCACAGCAGTGAAAGCACAATGTCTTCACCACTGGACCTCCAGAATTGTGCAGTCTTTATGCAGCTAATTTTAGGAAATAAATTTCTGTCAGCTTCCTTGGTGGCTCAGATGGTAAAGAATCCGCCTGCAACGCAGGAGACCTGGGTTCAGTCCCTGGGTCACGAAGATCCCCTGGAGATGGAAATGGCAACCCGCTCCAGTATTCTTGCTTGGGAAATCCCATGGACAGAGGAGCCTGGCAGGCTATACTTCATGGGGTCTCAAGAGTCAGACATGACTTAGTGACTAAAACACCTAAAACTAAAACTGTTTATTCCCATCTCAGCCCCATAATCACAGATCTACTTTCTGTGTAAGTTTGTGTCTGACTTCTTTTTACTTTGCATAATGTCTTTGATGTTCATCTATGTTGCAGTGTTTATCAGGATTTCATTTTTTAGTGCTTTTTAAAAATCCATCCATTGATAGACAGTTGGATTTTTCTCTACTTTTTGGCTACTGTGAATAAAAGTGCTATAAATATTTGCACGTTTTGGTGTTCACATATGTTTTCATTTCTTAGGAGAGTTTCTGAGTCACCTGATAGATGTTTCTTTAAATTTTTAAAGAAACTACAAAGCTGTTTTCCAAAATAGTTGTATCATTTTCCCTTCACAGTAGCAGGGTAGTTGACAGATATTTCTTGACTGATCTGGTCTCTGCCTCTTGATAGCAAAATCTGAGTTTATTGAGCACCCAGGAATATGCCATATTCTGTGCCATGTTCTCTGGGCTCATATGTGTATAAAAATAAGTATAACAGAATCTGATAGGTGCTGTGAAAATACACAAGAAAGACATAATTATTTCTTCTAGGAGTAGAAGGTCAAGAAAGGATGCACAAAGAGTACAAGTCAACTCTTATTAGTCTTGGCCAGTCAAGTAAATTTTGGAAACCAATTACATTTACAAAGAATGAATCTTATCACCGTGGGAAAAAATTTTATTCATGAAAATCTCAAGCCGTACAAAACGCAGACACTCCACTCAGGTGCAACAAACATGAATATGATACTAAGCAACTCTAGTCTTTTCCATAAATCGAGGAAGATATCAGTTTGACAGAGCACAGTAATCCTTAAAGCCACAATCCTCAACTTTCAATATGGTCCTGTGTATTTCTAAATAAGCCAGGCTAGAATGAGCTATAGTTTTGTTTTTAAGAATACAGAGATATGTAATTGACAATTATATGAAGTACACAAAAGCTTAAACGAAACATTTCACATAGGTAAAATACTGATGTCTTACCAACCCAAATGGCCTACAGTTTCAGTAAGATTACTAGATTCTCTAGAGGATGAAGAAGTGGCCTTTCACAGCTTACCCTATCTATAACTTGTTATTGTTCAATTTCTACTAAAGTATGTGTTATAATTGGCTACCATCAGGAAAATGCTTCTGCCTAGAAGAGGACTGAAGTTCTGTTACTAGAGCCAGCAGAGGGCACTTGACTTTGAAAATCTAGGTCAAGAATCTATGATGGGTCTTTTGTAGAAAACTGAGCTAGTTGTACAGGGGCTTAGGTAAAAGTATTTCAGAAGAGTCTGTGAGTTTTAAAGGTAATGTCTTTTCAGGGATATAGCATGTGAAGAAGCCACAGGCACTACATATATGTATATGAACAAAGTTAAGAACAGAAAAAGGTCTTTTGACTAAAGGAAGAGGACAGTATAAAAAATATATACAAAAAAGGGTTCAGAGGAAAGAAATATTTACATGATGTTAAAAATTATGAACGTTCAGCTATAATGAGGCCCCTTCGAACTCCCAGGACCTTTTCTTTCTTCTCCTTTCGCTCCTGCTCATGTTTCTTTCGTTGCTCCTCCCTACAAAAGGATAGGTTATATGTTAGGCTCTGGTGAAGTTCCAAACAGACCACTTTAAAGCACCTGTGGTTAGCATAATGTCCAAACTTAAAATGACATCCAGTGTAAAATACACTTTTGCAGGACACTGCGCTCTGACCAGTGGTCTGTGTGATGGAAACCATACCTGTAAGTCACTTATGTTAAAAGGCTAGAAATTTTTTCTTCCTTATGTTAAGGCAGCATTCTAAAACCAAGCATGAAAGAATCAGAAGGCACTTTGGAGAGTGAATCCAACCCCTGTAGATTTTTTTAGTTTGTTTTAAGTGAGAAAGTTCTATCTGTGGAAGTCAGAATTCAAGCTCAAAATCACATTGTCTAACGAAAGTGAACCAGGATCTATTGACTTAAGTCAACTATGATTTTTGAGGGAAGGAATTAAGAGGGAAAAAAAAGGCCCAGAATCATGTTAATGATTTTAATAGCAAATAATAAGGTCTTGGTGGTAGCTGTCTAGTCAAATGATAGGTAACTCTGTATCCGGAGGGTATCTCATAGGGAATCGACCAAACCAGGACCAGCTGCAGCCCAAGACAGACTCTGGCATTAACTTGGTTTTCATGCAGAAAGAAGCCTCTAAAGATCATACTGGGGTTTCCCCCTGTGCAGGGCCTTGAAGCCTAGTAAGCCTGGTTTCCCTGGGTGTGAGAATTTACATCTGTGTGCATCCTTTAGGTGCTCTGGGCACATGACTGATATTTGGAGGGACATCCAGGAGCACTGTTTGGGTAGATAGGTCATGTAAGAGCAGTGCTCTGAATCTGGGTCTTCTGAATAACCTGCAGAGCTTCAGAAAGAAAGCAGATGTGTGGGTGCCATCTCATGCCTACTGAATTAGAACCCACTGTGGTATTGCCTAGGCACATGTACTTTAAGTGCTGTATGATTCCACTTCTACCTTCTTTTTAAACCCCATTATTTCTGTGACTCTATCCCAAAGACTCTGCTTTTATATAGAGTTTTCCAAATTAAAAGAATTATAGAACTGAATAGTTATGTTCTTACCTGGTCTGGAGACGAGGTTGTTTATAAGTTTTCTTGTGGAAGCTAACTCTGCTGACATGCTCATGTATAGAATTGTTTTCTTTAGACTGTCCCCATGGTTTCAGTTTTCCTAGTTTAGGACAGAGACAAACAAATATAAGAAGATTCTTATATTTATAATTTTAATTTTCTCTTATCCGTGGCTGCCTGCTTGCTATCAACATTTATACTTTGTTTTTAGACATTTGCTAGTATAATTCTATTAACTTCAGTTTAATATTCCACAGATAACATTACTTTCTTTTCCTCTAAAAACAAGTGTCTTCTCCTTTAAAAAGACTTTTTTTTGGCCACACTGAATGGCTTGTGGGATCCTAGGTTCCTCAACTGGGACTGAACTCAGGCCCCTGTAGTGGAAGCACAGGGTTCTAACCACTGGACTGCCAGGGAATTCCCTCTTTGACTTTTTAATCCTTGGAAAGTCACAAAAAAATCTTAATACAAAAAAAAAAAAAAAAAAAACCTCATAATACTGAATCCAGTTATATGGCACATCAAAGAAGCCATAACAACTAGGTAGTTTAATCCCAAGATTGCATAGGTATGTTTAATACTAAAGTAGTATTTCATCTATGCAGTTTATTATTATTGATACCTATTGACGTGTATTTGGAACAAAACAAGTAGGACTATTTTATTGGCTTTAGAATTGTGACCGAATTTCCAGATATTTATATATTACTTTTCTGGCATAGTTTGACCTGTTTCTGAGTACTAGTGATTGTCATTTGCAGTGTTTCCCATTTTATAAAAAGGACTATCACACCTGCTGCATCATTTGACCCTCTTAGTAGCCACCGAAGTAGTACTTATTTATTTTCCCTTTTATAAAGGAATTAAGTGACTTGTCTAGGATATAAAATAGCAAGCACAAGTGAAGCTCTAAACCAGGTTTTCGACCATCAGTAGAAGTTAGGATGATCAGTCATTCCCATGACAAATACTTTTTGAGAACCTGGTATGTGTAAGGGACTCTTCTAGGTGCTAAGGACATAGCAGTGAACCAAGAAGTCAAAAATTCTTGCTGTCTTCCAATGGTAGAGGTACATAATTGTGTAAGGTAACATCAGGCAGTGCTATGAAGAAATATAAGACAAAGTAAGGAATGGAACTATGAGCCATGCCATGTAGGGCCACCTGAGAAGGACGGGTCATGGTGGAGAGTTCTGACAAAACGTGGTCCACTGGAGAAGGGAATGGCAAACCACTTCAGTATTCTTGCCTTGAGAACCCTATGAACAGTGTGAAAAGGCAAAAAGATACAACACTGAAAGATGAACCCCCCAGGTAGGTAGGTGCCCAATATGCTACTGGAGATCAGTGGAGAAATAACTCCAGAAAGAATGAAGAGACAGAGCCAAAGCAAAAACAACACTCAGTTGTGGATGTGACTGGTGATGGAAGTAAAGATACTGTAAAGAACAATATTGCATAGGAACCTGGAATGTTAGGTCCATGAGTCAACGCAAATTGAAAGTGGTCAAACGAGATGGCAAGAGTGAATATCAACATTTTAGGAATCAGTGAACTATAACAGACGGAAATGGGTGAATTTAATTCAGATGACCATTATAACTACTACTGTGGGCAAGAATCCCTTAGAAGAAATGGAGTAGCCCTCATAGTCAACAGAAGAGTCTGAAATGCAGCACTTGGATGCAGTTTCAAAAATGACAGAATGATCTCTGTTCGTTTCCAAGGCAAGCCATTCAATATCACAGTAATCCAAGTCTATGCTCCAACCAGTTATGCTGAAGAAGCTGAAACTGAACCGTTCTATGAAGACCTACAAGACCTTCTAGAACTAACACCCAAAAAAGATGTCCTTTTCATTATAGGGGACTTTAGAATGCAAAAGTAGGAAGTCAAGAGATACCTGGAGTAACAGGCAAATTTGGTCTTGGAGCACAAAATGAAGCAGGGCAAAGGTTAACAGTTTTGCCAAGAGAACACACTGGTCATAGCAAACACCCTCTTCCAACAACACAAGAGAAGACTCTACACTTGGACATCACCAAATGGTCAGTACTGAAATCAGATTAATTATATTCTTTGCAGCAGAAGATGGAGAAGCTCTATACAGTCAGCAAAAAAACAAGACCGGGACCTGACGGTTGCTCCGATCATGAACTCCTTATTGCCAAATTCAGACTGAAATTGAAGAAGGTAGGGAAAACCACTAGACCATTCAGGTATGACCTAAATCAAATCTCTTATGATTGTACAAATGGACGTGACAAGTACATTCAAGAGATTAGATCTGTAGAGTGCCTGAAGAACTATGGACGGAGGTTCGTGACATTGTACAGGAAGCAGTGATCAGGACCATCCCTAAAAAAAAGAAATGCAAAAAGGCAAAATCGCTGTCTGAGGAGGCCTTACAAATAGCTGAGAAAAGAGAAGTGAAAGGCAAAGGAGAAAAGGAAAGATATACCCATCTGAATGCAGAGTTCCAAAGAATAGCAAGGAAAGATAAGACAGCCTTCCTCACTGATCAATACAAAGAAATACAGGAAAACAATAGAATGCAAAAGACTAGAAATCTCTTCAAGAAAATTAGAGATACCAAAGGAACATTTCATGCAAAGATGGGCACAATAAAGGACAAAAATGGTATGGATCTAACAGAAGCAGAAATATTAAGAAGAGGTGGCAAGAATACATAGAAAAACTGTACAAAAAAGATCTTCACAACCCAGATGATCACAATGGGGTGACCACTCACCTAGAGCCAGACATCCTGGAATGTGAAGTCAAGTGGGCCTTAGGAAGCATCACCATGAACAAAGCTAGTGGAGGTGATGGAATTCCAGTTGAGCTATTTCAAATCCTAAAAGATGATGCTGTGAAAGTGCTGCACTCAATATGCCAGCTAATTTGGATAACTCAGCAGTGGCCACAGGACTGGAAAGGGTCAGTTTTCATTCAAATCCCAAAGAAGGGCAATGCCAAAGAATGTTCAAACTACCACACAATTGCACTCGTCTCACACGCTAGCAAAATAATGCTCAAAATTCTCCAAGCCAGGCTTCAACAGTACATGAACCATGAACTTCCAGATGTTCAAGCTAGATTTAGAAAAGGCAGAGGAACCAGAGATCAAATTGCCAACACCCATTGGAAAATTCCAGAAAACCATCTACTTCTGCTTTATTGATTACGCCTTTGACTGTGTAGATCACAACAAACTGGAAAATTCTTCAAGAGATGGGAATACTAGACCACCTTACCTGCCTCCCAAGAAATCTGTATGCAGATCAAGAAGCAATAGTTAGAACCAGACATGGAACAACAGAGTGGTTCCAAATTGGGAAAGGAATATGTCAAGGCTGTATATTGTCACCCTGCTTATTTAACTTATATGCAGAGTACATCATGTGAAATGCCGGACTGGATGAAGCACAAGCTGGAATCAAGATTACCAGGAGAAACATCAATAACCTCAGACATGCAGATGACACCACCCTTATGGCAGAAAGTGAAGAAGAACTAAAGAGCCTCTTAATGAAAGTGAAAGAGGAGAGTGAAGAAGCTGGCTTAAAATTCAACATTCAAAAAACTAAGATCATGGCATCCGGTCCCATCACTTCATGGCAAATAGATGAGTTAACAATGGAAACAGTGACAGAGTTCATTTTCTTGGGCTCCAAAATCACTGCAGATGGTGAGTGCAGCCATGAAATTAAAAGATGTTTGCTCCTTGGAAATTAAAAGATGTTTGCTTCTTGGAAGAAAAGCTATGACCTACTTAGCAATATTAAAAAGCAGAGACATTACTTTGCCAACAAAGGTCCATCTAGTCAAAGCTATGATTTTTCCAGTAGTCGTGTATGGGTGTTAGAGTTGGACTATAAAGAAAGCTGAACACTGAAGAATTGATGCTTTTCAACTGTTGTGTTGGAGAAGACTCTTGAGAATCCCTTGGACTGCAAGGAGATCCAACCAGTCCATCCTAAAGGAAATCAGTCCTGAATATTCATTGGAAGAACTGAAGCTGAAGCTCCAATACTTTGACCACCTGATGCGAAGAACTGACTCACTAGAAAAGACCCTGACGCTGGGAAAGATTGAAGGCAGGAGGAGAAGGGGATGACAGGATGAGATGGTTGGATGACATCACCTACTTGATGGACATGAGTTTGAGCAAGCTCCGGGAGTTGTTGATGGACAGAGAAGCCTGGTGTGCTGCATCCATGGCGTCACAGAGAGTCAGACATGACTGAGTGACTGAACTTCACTGAAGGAATAGAGTGTGTGTGTGTGTGTGTGTGTGTGTGAGAGGTGGCTGGCGGGGGGTGTACAGAGAAGACCTTCCTAGATTGGTGACAGTCAAGTGGATGCCCCATTAAAAAAAGGGGGCAAGCTGTGCAAAGATCAATGGGAACAGTGTACTTGGTGAAGCAGAGGGATAACAAATTCAAAGACCTAAAGGAGGGAATGAGATGAGTGTGTCTGAGGAGCTGAAACACCAGTGTGATTGGCACAGAGTCAGAACGAAATGAGGGTGGAAGAGAGATGGGAAACCTTAGGAGGTTCAGAGCAAGGCACTGATGTGCTCTGATTCATTTTTAAGGTTGTAGTGGGCCAAGAGGCTATTCTAGAAATTCAATAGGATGATGTGACTAGGACCAAAGGCAGTAGCCATAAAGGGGTGAAAAGTGGTCAAATTACAGATCAGTTTCAAAGATGGAGTTGAAAGGCCTGCATATGGCGTCAAGAAGAGTGGACAGCCAAAGATCACGCCCAGATGTCTGCCCCGACACTTGGTAGAGAAGTGCCATTGCCACAGATGGGAAAAACTTGGGGAGGAAAAATACAGTGAGAGAAGTTTTTTTAAACCATGGTTCAGTTTAACTCTTACCTCTAAATAAGACTTAGTTTTTATTATATTTGTTGCATTAAGATTAGTAATTAAAAAAAAAAGATTAGTAATTTAAATACTTATATAAACATGATTTTTATAGGAAGTTTGTTTTAAAATAATTCCAGAAGCACTGACATATAGATTACATTAATTGCTGATGTTTTAAGTGGATGTGAAGATACTTTAATATATGCCCAAGAGAGACATCTGGCCAATAAATGTCCCAGGTGGTTTGACCAGTGGTTCTCAGCCTGGGATCCTTTAAAAACTATAAAGAAAACATTCATGTACCCATAGAAATATTCAAGTTTCTTGATTTTGGCTGAAGTTTTATTAATGCTTTTTAGCAACACTGATTAGAAACTGTCTTTGGTTAACAAAAATTTAAGTGAATTATTTAGTATTTGTTCAATGGACAGTTTTTAATTTATGGGTCACGTGGACACGGGGCAGAGGCAGGAATTCTAGGCCAAGTATGGCTTCCACTGAGTCACTAGGATTTTTCACATCTTCAGATGCATAACTGTTTAATCTTAACTCTTGTACCTGAAAGCATTCCCACATACCTTTGTGTGGCTCATAGTTGAGAGGACGAGACAAACTTGCTTTGAGATCGAACACTGGTTTTTTATGGGAGATTGGAGTCTGCGCTGCCTCAGTTGTCAACTTGAATGGGGTAATAACTAAAATAACAAAATCCAAGAGTTTAATTAGAATAAAAGACCTGCTAAAGTTTTTATTTTATTAAAGTAACACTGCTCAATCTTAAATAGAATTTAATATGAACAGACTGAAACAGAAGTTGGGTTAAAAAGGAGAAACGGGGAGACAAGAGTTACTGAGAACTAACCCCTGAGATTTGTTTCCCTGTCAGCAGCTCCCCAAAGAGTCTAAATATTGTGACATTTCCTAGGATCAACAGGAGTTTAGAATTCTGTTTTAAGAATTAATTGGGTGGGAAGGATAAATCAGGACTTTGGGATTAACATAAACATAAAAATACATAAAAATAGATAACCTAAAAAAGGTCCTACTATATAGCACAGGGAACTATATTCAGTATTTTGTAATAACCTATAAGGGAAAGGAATCTGAAAAAGATTATATGTTTTTATATGTATAACTGATTCACTTTGCTGTATACCTGAAAGTAACATAACACTGTGAATTAACTATATTTCAAATAAAAAAAATTAACTGGGTAAATTTACAAGCTGTTTCCCTGATATTATTTACCCCCTTTTTTTTGGCAGCACTGCAAAGCATGCTGGATCTTAGCTCCCTAACCAAGGATGGAACCTGCATTCTCTGCAGTGGAAGTTTGGCGTCCCAACCACTGGACCACCAGGGAATTCCCTACCCTTTAAAAAGATTATATATTATTATATATTATTATATATTATTATATTATATATTATATTATATATTAATAGTGACATTTTCATTAACACAGACAGAGATAAAGCCTGCAAGGAACATAATCACATAGAGATTGAAAAGATCCATGGCTCTGGTTTTCACTAATGAAGGCTCTTACAGAAAGTGAATGTGAAGAATGTGAATTTTTGTAACATAAAGTTAAAAATATACCAGAATGGTATAATTTGGTAAGCCACATTTTTGCTACAGTTGGGCAGCATATATCTGACATATTTTATAATCCTTTCCCCTCACAGGTTGCATTCAGGCCATTGTCAAATGTTGGTACTTGCCTGAGTATGTGAACAAGTAACCAGGATCTAGGAACACCCAGTGAAACAACACAGAAAAGCACAAAGCCCCTAAGCTGAAGCCATTCCATTGTGTTGCTATCAAGTGTTGGTAAGGAGGGAAACAGCGGGGCGGTCACACACTGCTGAGAGGACATACTAGTACAACTCAACCAGTAATGTAAGTGTCTGTATACCTATCTGTCCAGCAGCCCCCCAGTCCTAGTTTTGAGAAACTCTTATGCATGGACAGGGGATGTGTTCCACAATGGTCATAGTTACACTGTATAAAATAATAAAAATTGCTCATGGGGGACACAGGCTTGATCCCTGGTCGACCAGGGGAACTAAGGTGCCACATGCTGCAGGGCATCTAAGCCAGCTCACTGCATCTACCGTCGGCCACAGCTATGGACCATGTGCTCTGGAGCCCATGTGCTACAATTAAGACACAACACAGCCAAAAATAAATAAGTAAATAAATATTAAAAAGATAAAAGTCCGAAATACCCATGGGTCCATGAGCAGTAAAATGGATAAGTTGAAATATATCCATACCTTTGAAAAACAGTGAAAATGAATGAACTTTAGCTCATTTATCAATATGGCTCTTGAAACATACAGAGTGAATAAAGCAAATCATTAGAAACAAATCAGTTTGATTTCATCTACATAAAATTCATATTTGATAACTAGGGAAAGAAAACTATCCCATCCCAGCTGGACACACTCCTGAGTAACCTAGAGGAGAAAACTCAGGATATGGCATAGAGGTAGATTCTTCCTCATGTCCTTATCTGTGGGCATTTGTGGGTCCTTGCGCAGTATTAGGCAGGTGGCTGCTGCTCAGTGGCTCATGTCCCATGTAAAATGACAAGAGTCCTATCTTAAGGAAGTTTATTCTTCATTTTTTTAGCCCTGCTTTCTGCCCAAACTTTCTTCCCCTTTTACAGGATGACTTAGAATGTTACATGGAATGTTTGCTTGCTGGTATAGAAAAGATTAAGGGTAAATGGGAATGAGAGGGCATATAGAGGAATAATCATAAATTTTCTGTTCCTACCTCTGCACTCTCTCTTGAAATATAGTTATCAGTTTCACTATTTGGTCTTTAATTTAGGTGTGAAAGGCATGAAAAAACCCAGTCTCCACACTGATTATTACCAACGACAACAGTATTCTCCTCTAGTCTGAACTCCTGCTGGATCACTCTGGTCTCAGGGGACCAAGGCTCCTCTTGCCTGACAGTCAGCAGAACTCTCAAGTACACTCAGTTCTAATACAGGCCTTAACCTGTTGGTGACACTGTCTTAAACCCTCACACTGCTATTGCAGTGTTCTTTTGAAAACCACCTGCTCTTTGTAGGCAATGATTAAGTAGACAGGGTGTAGAAGATTGTCTGTATGGCTCATTCTGGCTTATACACCCTGCTACCAGTCAATAGCATGGCATTTATTCCATAAACTCTGGGTCCTGTTAGTTTCAGGGTCTGGCAGAACCACTCAGAGGCTATAATGAGTGCTGTGATCCTCCTCCTAATCTCTGAGGAGGGGCCAAATGTTCTCCAGGGAGGGTCACCATCTTGGGGCTTGTCTTGGACAGGATGGAGACCTTGGGCAGAGGTATCAGGTTTTTGTCTGTGTCTCTGGAATTTCCCTCACAAGTATAAACACTTTGGAGAAATTTTTGCTTTTGATTCTATAGATATGGAAAGGCTTTAAGGAAACAATCCTATTAGGATGTTACTTGGCTTAAAAATGCAGAAGTGTGGGGAGGGGGGTTTGTCTCTTTACCAGCAACAGATTCACCCCTTGTGGTCTTTAACTTGTGTGTCCCAAGCAGAGCCTGGCCTTTTGGGGTATTCCCAGACGTGGTCACATGTGGAGACTTTCTGGCTGGAGTCTTGGTCAGTGAGCGCTTATGCTCATTATCTTTAGTAGCAGCTGAAAACCTAAAAAGGACCGTGGAGAAATAAGACATGAGTACTTGGGCTGAGCTTATAAACACCACCACCTACCCATCACCAGGCACTGAAAGGGCCTCAATATAACTTGTTATACACATGAACGTCTTTCACAGAATGTGAATGTTTTTAAACAATGATGCTACAGCAAATCATTTATCAATTTCTGTTACCTGTAAAATTTGTCTTGTACTCTCTACTCTCCCTGCCTTGGCCAATGACAGCATAAAGCAGAAGTCAAAGGAGACACCTAAGGGGCTCAAGTTTCAGGTGTACTTGAAGAAGCTCCCTTTCTTCTCCTGATGAGGGCAAGTCAGAGGGATTGGGAGACCACTAAGACTCTACAACAGAATTAAGAAAATAGATGTGTAGGAATGGTTCTGCTACCATGTCCAGGCTGTTCTGTACCCTGCAGGAAGCAAGGACTAGCCCCTGACCTTGGTGCTCTTAAATATTAATAAATAATAATCAGAACTGCCAAGTATAAGTACCTCATATTCCAAGCTAACTCAATAAATAGAATTCCAAACTCAAGGGCATTTTTCAGCTTTTGAAAACTATGTCTGATATTGCACATGTTGGGGAAGTATTACCATGCACCACTTCTATTAAATGTAGCAATGCCCTTAATAAAGAAAAAAGGAGCCTGAAGATCTTCCTCTGTGGGGACGGTCACAGTTAGGGGCTACCTCGACGCCAGGAAAGGCACAAGCAAAGAAAACAGGGATTAACAGGGCATGAGACGGCTATGCTACTGCACTACCTACTGAGCTACAACATTCACACTGTAGGATGAGTCAGTTCTGAGACATTTTCAGCTTCAACTTTAAGTCAATGGAAAAATTTCTACAGACATCTTTGCAGACATACATTAAATTAATAAAGTAAAATATCCATATTATCTTTTCTATCTTTACTTATGAATCAAGTGTTAGGAAAGTTGGATAAAACAAGAAAACACAAATATAAAGGAAAAAAAGATTAACTTAAATGTTTGCTGATCTATTATTCCAATCCTTTCTCCTTTTTCAGCCACTCTAAAACATTTGATGTAGTCCACCTGAAATGTATTAAAAGCAATAAAGCCTTAGAGACCTCACCCTGGATTCCAGTTTGGAGCTCTTCTTTACCTGACATTCATCTTAGCTGCCGAGAGAGCAGAGTGCTTGGCTGACCCCTTCACACACAAGGTGCTCCGGCCTGCGTGGGGCCGGCCTTGCGAGCGCTGCTGGCTGCCAGGGGTACAAGCCACGGAGAGTCTTCCTCGGGCAGGAACTGGAGTTGCCGGCACTCCCTTAGTGACAGGCTGCCTCTGGAGAACCCGAAATGCAGCACATTAAAGCCTGGCCTCTTAGACAGTACGGTCTCCTGGGCAAAGTGCAGGAGAGTGCCCCATTTATCCCATTTCATCCTCACTTTTAACCCTATCATCCTTCCTTGTCTACTACCTCGCCCCATCCTATCTGCCTGGCAGGCTGGGCTGCGCTGCTCAGATGGCTCTGATTTCATAGAAACTCCTAGCTGTGCTGTGTTACAGAAAGCCCTTCGCAGCGCCCATGTCCCCAGGTGTTTTCTCACTAGACAGAGCAGGTGGCTAAACAGTCCCCCACATGGCCAGAGACGGGGGATAAATGGTTCTCTTGGAAAGATGGTTTCTTTGACAGCATGATAATGCAGTTTATTAAATATAAACTCAAAGAAGACCCTACTGTGTAAAAGCTTGTGAAATTTACAAATAATCACTCCCCAACCCAACCCTAGATCCCCAATAGCTTTTTTTTCCCCAATAGCTTTTTAAAGTTCTTTTTTAAAAACCTAAAGAAAAAGAAGAGAGGAAGGGGAATGCTCTCTATGAAACATCAGGGAAGGGTTTCACTTATGGAATCTTTTTTAGATACAGTCAAAGCACAAAGAGTGATGGAATGTTTTACTATCATTAGTCTTAGTTCTGCTGCAGGCAGAATAAATCTAACTTCACTAACTGACAAACAGAAATAGGACTACTGGAATTGACAATGTAGAGCCAAAAGAAACATTCTGATTATAGCCTATGAAATAATACAAGGAAGCAGAGAATTATATTAAGTTCTCATTTCAACATACAAGCAGAAGAGATTCATGTTGTGAGACAAATTTAAAAATAAAATATTTAGTAAATATGTATCTTTACCATAAGCTAAGAACTCAGGTTAGATGTATATTAAGTATACTGTTTTTGTAACATGAACATGTGACATCTGATGATCAGAGAAATGCAAATTCAACTGGTTTTTTTTTTCATATATTCTCAAATAAAAATTTGATCATTCTCACTGTTAGCAAAGTAAACAAGCATCTTGGGGCACAAAGTTTGGGATCCCATTATAGAGGAGCCATCAGGCAACTAATCATGGAGACAGTCATTGGTCACAGCTGAGATGATTCTCTCTAGACCTCTGCTCACTTCTTACTGTCCATCACTCTCCAAAGGACCAACCCCCAAACATATCAACTGTTAAGAAAACCATATTAGCTATGGTGAAGTCACTATCATTGTTTTTTATTTAGTCTCCAAATAGATCATAGCAAATAGCCCATCTCATCAGCTAATTCCTGATTAAACAGTGACACTGGGGTGGGATTTGTAGAACTAAACTCATTCAGATGGGACTGTCAGCTAAGTAACAAGATAAGCTACTCATTTATTCAATACATCTTCAAGGCTACACTCAAGTTTATGGTTAAAGCAGTTGTTCTGCCCTTAACTTTTACCTAGAAAATTAATTCATCCATATCATGTGTACAGAAAGCTTGACTTTTAATAAAGTTTTTAAGTAGACTCAGCTTCATGGTAAGGAAAATGAGTGGCTCTCTTTCCAGGCATATTTGCAGCTAGCTCATGCCTATGCAGAGAAAGAAGCTATCTAACTTTCTGTAAAGCATCACAGGCCACTCCCCTTCTCCCTCCCTCCCTTCCCAGGATGGGCCTCTTGTCCCAGTATTCAGTAATGAATGCTGTGATACTTAGTGATGAATGCTGTGAAACTTAGCCCTTGTTAAAATTTAAAAGTCTTATGGACATACTGAGTATCTCTTCTCTGGATTGTCCACCCATGTTGTTAGATCAGTATGAAGGGATAGAGATATTTAATGCCTTGACTTGGTGATGCTGCTGCTTGCTAGAAGGTTGATAACACTGTCTTCAACTGTGGTAACAGTGGTTTTATAAACACTGTTCAAGTGAACATTTATTATCCAAGATTAAGTCTCTAAGAACCACATGTATTTTTTTGTTTGTTTTTTTAATTATCTAGAGCTTATTATCCAGTGCATTTCCCCACTGCCATGGATATCAGACAGCTTAAAACTCAACTCAATAATTGATATAGCAGACACTGTACCTGCTAACAATGCTCATTTTCTGCCCTTTTAAAAACAGCTTTATACTGTTTTGTGCTGTAATACCACAAACTGGCTCAAATTCTTTGAAAAATAGGCAGGTTATTATGTATTATTAAATTAAAAAATGTTTCCCATCCAAATGTGAGGCACCCCTTTAACAACAGATACCATGTAAGACAGTAACATCAACTTCCTAGGATGTTATTAATTCACTCCTCTTCTGCTAACTCAGCCTCAGGGTTGACTTCACCTTCTCTTACTCAAAGGAGTTCAAGTCCAGCACTACCTGGTCTGAAGGCCCCCAGTCCAGGGAGCTCAGTTATGACAGTAAGCCTTCAAGCTAGCCACTGTTAGTCACCCCTTTTCCCTTTGAGTTAAGGACAGGAAAAGAAGGTGGTTTCAGCCATAAATCAGTTTTTCCCCATCAAAAGTGATAGGCACAATGCCTGATTGTGGAAAACAGAGTAACTTATTGCTATTTTGGAATTCTTCCTTTCTTTTGTTCTTTTTTTTTTTTTACTGTTTACTTTAAATATTTTTCTATTTTAAGAATTTTAAGAAGTTATATTTTCTTAATGTTTTTTCTTTCTTTTTAACTTTTTTTTATAGTGAAGATTCACTGCTTTATCTGGAGGGTTTTGAAAATTCTCAAAAACAAATTTAAAATAATAAAGATACATTAAACTCAAATCTATTCCACTAATAGAATAATAGAAAGCCAGTTGTATTAACCATGCTATGTAATACAGAGTATCAACATTAAAATCAAACAGTACCACTAAGAACATAATTTTATCAGCATACCTTCAGTTCATTAAATGAATTGTGTTCTTCAAAATATTTCTTTTTTCTCTCAACATATTGATCAATGGACTCCATTTCCTTAAAATGAGCCTCGTGAAGCTTCTTAAAGTCTAGAGTATTTTCCCAAATGTGAAAATTAATAACAAGGCAAAATCCATTTATTCACCTTCCTTATGTTAATCTGTTAACATTTATTCTCATCTCAGTATTCCTAATATTCAACTTCAAACATCATTTTTGCTAAAATTTTAATTTCAAAACATTTAGTTTTTGGAAACTCAGGAGAAAAACATATTCATGTTATAAACTATCAAACGCTGACAGTCTCTCCATTTCACTGCCTACTGACATCTTGGTTTAGTCCAGAGCATGAGAAAAGATTAACAGATTTGTCCTCCACCTCACCAATTAATTAATGGCCTTTACTTAAATTTGACATTTTATAATGCTAAGAAGAGAAGGGAATGCTAAGAAGAGAAGGGAATTTATAATGCTAAGGAGAGAGGGAATGGCAACCCACTGCAGTATTCTTGTCTGGAGAACCCCAGGGACAGAGGAGCCTGGTGGGCTACAGTCCATGGGGTCGAAAAGAGTCGGACATGACTGAGTGACTAAGCACAATGCTAAGAAAGCTCTATGCCAAGGGTTGGCAAATTCTGTCTGTAAAGGGGCAGACAATAAATATTTTATGCTTGACAGCCACACACAATGTAGTCTCTGAGTTATGTTCCTTCTTTTATACAATGCTTTACAACTGTAAAAGACATTCTTAGCTCAAGGGCTGTAAGACAGGCCAAGATGGGCAATACTTTACCTCTGCTCTGTGCTATTCTAATTAATTATATTCCCACTAAGCATAATAAGTAATAGAATTTCTAATACATGCTGAGCAGCATTTTAAGTATTCTAAATATACCCACAATCAACATTCTATGTGCCAGGCAACAGAGTAACTTACTTGGAGTAGTGCTTGCAGTTTTTTTGTTTCTTCCAGGTTTGGAAAACCCATCTGTGTAGAGAGACTTCTTTCTTTTTGAAGGTACCTTTGGATCTTCATTATCTGAATCCAGAGATACAGAATTAGTGAAAGATTTCTAAAAATTATTCCCATGAAGAAATGTAACAAACTAACACTGTAAAGCAATTATACTTCAATTTAAAAAAATAAGTTAACATGAAGCATTTTCATGTGCTAATCTCTGACAAGATTGTGGGAGAAATAGTATGTAAGGAGCACAGAGTTATAGCATCACCACAATTAGCAGACAGAAATTTTGTGCTTCCTGTATAGCTTTATAAGCCTATCAGAAATTTAAAAACACTTTTCCAGAACTTTTGCTATGAACATGTCTAGTTGTTTTAACGAGAACTATAAAAATCACACCACCCCACCAGCCTAAGAAACACTATTATCATTCTGGCATATTTTCTCAGGTCCTTTACTTGTATGCTTGTTTTGCTTTTGTTCTTTAAATCTAATTAAGATCATTATGTGTATAACAGTTGCTATTTCCCTCTACTTATCTTCCACATTCTAACATCATTTTTAGCTTGAGGCAATCTACTAAATACTGTGTAAGTGACTTTTCAAGAAATGCTACTTATGAAGTCTTACATCCTTAACGTTTCCCAATGCATCTAAAAAAACAAGACAAAAGAATGGATAGATAGAGCTGGAGGGGCTGCAGTGGCTTTTGCTTGGACTTTGGTCATCAAATAGGATATGTAAAGAATCAGAGCCACTCTTCACAGCACGATTATAAATGAAAATATAATAACTACAACAAAGGAACAACCTAGCAGACACTTCCATAACCAAGTGATGCACGTTAACAAGACTAGTCATAGGACAAACCAATACCTGAGCCCTCTGGGGTGCTGACTATGAAGGACACTATGTCTTAGTTGGTGGGATTCCTGCCAATAGGGCATGATCTGATTCTAATCATCAACAACATTAGACAAACTAAGTCAGAGGACCCAAGAAACTGTCTGTATTTTAAAAACGTCACACACTGGGAGACAAAGGAAGGCTGCGGAACTTCCAGATTAAAGTAGTTTAAAGAGGCACGGCAAGGAAATGCCAAGAATGAGCCTGCCTTTGTTTGAAGGGACACTGCTGGGATGAAATCTAAACCAGGTCTGTCTAAATAAGGTTATTTATGAAGTCTCACACTTTCTAGCCTCAGGATCCCTCTGTACTCTCAAAAATTAAGGACCCCAAAGAATTTTTGTTCATGTATCAATATGTACCGTACTAGACTTAAAACTAAGACATTTAAAGATATTTGATTCACTAAAAATAGACCCAACTATACCGTAATATAATTAAAAATGACTAAAGTTTCTAAATAAAAAAAATGAGTTGAGTGGTTATTTTCTCTTTTCTTTTACAATTTCTTTAATAATAAAAGGCAGCTGGATTCTCTCATCTGCTTCTGCATACACTATCTTGTGATATATTGTTCTGGCTTAAGTAATATATGAAAACAAATTTTGCCATATACAGCTATGTGGTTGAAAGTGAAGACTATTTAATGGCCTTTTAAGATAACTGTGGATATTCTTCTTTGATACTATACCAAACCTTGACAAGTGGTTTTCGTTAGAGGTTAACTATCATGTGGAATATGAACTGCACTCTGTACATTTGTGAGAAAAAGTCCTTATATTTTAAGAAACACACAAATATTTAGGGGTAAAAAGGCACATATCTGAAACTTACTCTCAAGCGGTTTATGAAAAAATGTATACAACACATAAGTATGTATATATGTATATATGTAGAAGAATAAAGCAAATATGGCAAAATATTAATATTTGGAAAATCTAGGTGAAAGATATATAGGAACTCTTGTTACTGTTCTTACAACTTCATGTCTAGAATTATGTCTAAATAAAATTTAAAAAATTCCTCTCACCAGAAACTACATGATCCGATTTTTCTCCTTTAAACAGCCAGCACTTCAGTGGGCAAACCTGACTTACAGGATCTACCCTCATTTTTCCCATGCCTTCAAAACCGGGTCCCAGAGGTAAGTCTTCTCGACAACATGCTTGATGGAATACTAGACATTTGTAATTCTACACCCACCTCTGACTCTGTCATATTTCTTTACATTCCCCTCATCTCAAGATTTCAGAGTGGGTTTATGAGGCATATGCATCAGAATTACCTGGGGATGCTTATTAAATCTGCAGAATTTCAAGCTCACCTCAGACCTACTGAATCAGAACCTCTACTCCTTTAATTTTCTAAATTTAGTAACACATTCAAAATGCTGGGGAAGATGGGAAGGCTCAGCATTAGAAATTCTGCATTAGACTGCCTAGTGGACATGAGTGGATCATTTCTCTCTCAGTCCCCTCAGGCAAACATCAGGTCCCAGACAGACTGCTGGGATGAAGCAAATACTGAGACACTGCTGCAACTGGCAGGCTTCCTGAGGGATGAAATCAGAAAGCACCAAGTCCTATTAGGTAAAAGGGAACTGAAGATTTCTGGCCGTTTTTTTTTTTTTTTTGGTGGCCACACCATGAACCATTGGGGATCTTAATTCCCTGACCAGGGATAGAACCCATGCCCCACTCAGTGGAATCAAGGAGTCCTAACCACTGGACTGCCAGGGGTGTCTTCTGGCTTTACTGAAACAAACATTTAGTTGAGAAAGTTTAGAGAAGAAGTTTTCAGGTTACAGACTAAGTAAAATATACATTTATCGTAATAAAACACACTGCTGGGAAGGGAGATCCCTTTTAATTGTCCTACTTGAGGGAGCTAACAGGCCTTTGAACCTGTCTCTGGAGCAGGCCAGAAGGAGCTAATTGGCAGAATGTGGGTTCCCCTCATCCCGCCTAGAGATTAACTGCCTGAAACTTTCCAGCTATCACTCTTACTCTGGTTTCTACCAGTTGTTAAAGGTGACCTGATGGCCTGCTATACTTGGTTCTAACTTTTGCTCTCACTGCAAAACCCTTGGAAATTCTAAATAATGGTATATTGGGTGGAAAGGTTTTCCCAGAAGAGATATGCTGAAGTCTTAATCTCTAGTAACTGTGAAATGACCTTATTTGCAAAGGATCTTGGTAGATGTAATCAACTTAAGCTGAGGTCACTGGGATAGACCTGGGCTTCCCAGGTGTTGCAGTGGTAAAGAATCTGCCTGCCAATGCAGGAGATGCAAGAGACACAGGGTTCGATCCCTGGGTCAGAAGATCCCCTGGAGAAGGAAATGGCAACCTGCCCCAATATTCTTGCCTGGAGAATCCCATGGACAGAGGAGCCTGGTGGGCTACAGTCCATGGGATTACAAAGAGTCGGACATGACTGAGTGCACAGACACACACAAGCCAATATAACTGGTGTCCTTTTAAGACAATATAAAGAAAACGACACACAGAGAGAATACCACATGACGAAGAGGCAGAGATTTAGCTGAAAGCCAAGGTCTATAACCATCACCAGAGGTACAAAGCTGCCAGGAAGGATTCTCCCTAGTGTGGAAGAGAATGGCCCTACTGACACCTTAATTTTAGACTCTAGCCTCCAGAACTGTGAGAGAATAAATTTCTAAGTTGCCCAGTTTGTGGCACTTTGTTAGGGCAGTCCTAGTGAACTAAAGCACAGTCACCCTAGCAATTTTAGATTTTTTAAAAATGACTTGCATACCATCCAGTCCACGTTTTCCCGAGCACACTGCATTCCCATCTCCTTGATTCTCTTTTGGTGGAGAAGGACTTTCTACAGCAGTTCTGAGAACCTGGCTTTCATGCTTTTCTTGATTCTGGGATTCAGTAGGGCCACATATTTTTATCTCTGAATGATTCTGCTACAAATTTTAGAAAGAAATAAATGATTTAAATGACAAATAATCACATTTGAAAACTGCCATGAGTAAATCTGAAAAGGTCTCATCACAAGAAAAATCTAACCATGTGAGGAGATGGATGTTAACTAGACACTATATACTGTGAAATGATCACCCCAAATATTGAATCATTACATTGTACACCCAAAACTGATAGTGTGTTATGTGTCGATTATACCTCAATTAAAAAAAAAATATCATTAGGGACTTCTCTGTTAGTCCAGTGGTTAAGAATCCACCTTCTAGTCCAGGGGACATGGGTTCGATCCCTGGTGGGGGAACGAAGATCCCACATGCTGCAGAGAAACTAAGCCAGTGAACTGCAACTGAAGAGCCTGCAAGTCACAACAAAGATCCAGCACAGCCAAAAGAAAAAAATTATATCATTAAAAAAAAATCATCAAAAAGATAAAAAATAAAAAAAGTTATATCATTAAAAACATCATTATAGTCAGACATTAAAAAAAGGAAAGAAAAAAGGAATCACTGTCTTCCAAAGATAGGTACCAAATTGAGGGGGAAAAGGAGTTAAAGGAAGAAAAGGAAGAGACTAAGCTTCTTTTGAATGGCAGATCAGGTTCTTTGCCTCACCACGTGTTGTGAGAATGTGCATTTGGGCACAGGAGAGACTAGGGACAACTGGAAGGCATACATGGCAGGGGAAGCTCTCCGAGGGAGGAGAAACTAACAGTGAAAGACCTGGACAGGCCAACAAGTAAGGTCTTACACAAAGCTAGAACACAAAAGTTAGGACCATCTTGTAAAAGTTACATTTGAATGAAAGGATAATAAAACCAGAATCCTCTCAAAGCCGGTGGGAGAAGTGCCTGGAATCTCATGAGGACACTGCTCAAAGACCAAGCTGATCACCAGGCCCAGGACAAGTTAGGAAGGAGGAAAAAAAAAATTGTATTTGATACTGGTATCTCTTTCCTTATTTACTATACACCTTACTTAAGTAAACACTTAATGAATTTCATTCCTATTTATTTAAAAAACATTTAATTTGAACTTAATACTTCTATTTTGGCTGCACCCCACAACTAATGGGATCTTAGTTCCCCAACCAGGGATTGAACCTGGGCCCTCGGCAGTGAAAGCATGGAGTCCTAGCCATTGGACCACCAGAGAAGTCCCTGTGCTTAGTACTTAATAAGTACTTCCTGAGTGCCAGTCCCTGAGGTGTGATGATAAAGCCAGACTAGGGTCTGAGCTCAGAGCAGTGTTTACCATCACCTGATATCACAAGCGAATAAGAGAAAGCTCCCTGATAATATACCAGATTGGGCACAGGTGGTAGCTTCTTTGCAGTTTGCGCATTTCCATTTGCCTGCGAGTCAGGGCTCCTGTGGACAGTCTGATGCCTTCCTCTGGTTTTGGTGACATGGTTATCCGGCTCCCTCTCAGCGTGTTCCTGGCTGCTGGTCTGTATCTCAGTCTCATCACAAGAGAATGCAGAAGTCTGAATTTTATCCTAGAAAAAAGACATTAATCTGCCATGTCCCATGCATACAGTTACAATGCTCAGGAAGAATCAGAATTTAAACTGAATAAAAAACATATCACATATGCAACAGATAATTTTAAAACTCTCCAGCATGAAATTATAGGCACAGTGAAGAATTACAAAGTATTCAAAAAGAAATAATCACACTTAACCCAAGCTAAAAAAAACTAGGTTAGCAAAGCATTCAAAGGTATATTAGTGCATGTAAACAAGCAAATTATTATTACTAGTTTTTTGGCCACACTGCTCGGCTTGCAGGATCTTAGTTCCCCACCCAGGGATCAAACCCAGGCCCATGGCAGTGAAAGTGCCAAGTCCCAAACACTGGACCACCAGGGAATGCCCACAAATTATTAAAAGTGCACGAATTAATTTATGCTATAACTAATAACAACAACAGCTAATATCATTGACCCATTTAGGTGTCAAGCCTTGTCGAAACTCTTTCGTGTGGGTCTGCAGCAGCTATGACAATCACTCCCAGCAGCAGTGGTTCATAGACTACCACAGGTCACTCTCATAGTCTCCACTGCATTTGATTCTCGTAACACTAAATTCAGCAGAGAAGATGTTATTTCCATTTCAAAGAACAGGAAACTAAGAATCAATAATATGAGTTTTCCAAGGTTACATGCACACAAAAGACAGAGCTCCTACTTGGTTTTTCTGACTTCAAATCCACTTCCCTCCCCATTCATACAATTTGGCATTCTTTTGGCAACTAGTAATTAACCTTTGCATTTATTTGAAACATCTTGCTTAACAGAATACAGAGGCAGTTTTGCCATTTATAAGAATAATAAAAGGATTTACAACTACTAATATCAATCCCTTTGGTAACAAATACCATGTCTTAAGTCATTGCCAACTGTGTTTCTCACTCATTAACTGATTGTTTTGCTATTTAATAGGTGATGAAAATGTTACTTACCTGATTTTCATTTTCTTTTCTTGCTTCATTTTTAAGGTGAATTTTTAAGGCCCTTAAGAGCTTGTCTGCCTGCAGAAAAGTGAAAGACCTTATCAGTAGAGTAAAAAATCAAATAAGCAAGAAAGATTCATTGAACATCTCCTGTTCTTATATTCATCAAACGTCCTCTAGACAGGCTGGAGTAGGATGACCAAGATAGACTTGGTTCCTGTCCCCACAGATTTCATAGCACAATGGGGAAGTCAGAGAGGAAAGTGGCAATTACAGTGCAGTGGGGTAAATGCCAGCATAAGGAAGCTTAGATGTCGTGTGAGAACACAGGTAGGTACTGCACTAGGGTTGACTTCAGTAGGTAAATGTACATGCCAGTTCTAAGTTAAAGGCATGAGGTCACTAGATGCTGAGGCAGAAGAACAAATAGGAGAGTGGGAAGTAGGGAACTGCATGGGAAGGCAAGAATGAGTGCAGTTTGAAGAACTAAAGTTCAGTGTGGGCTGAGCAGGGAGCTGTTTAGACGGGCTGGTGAGAGAGACTATTGGGAAAGTGGGCCTGATCCTACCAGGCCTTGTAAGACTCTTTAAGAGGATGACCTTTAAAGGCAGTCTGCAGAGTTTGTTGCAGGGCAGTCGGTTCTGCATTTTTTGGGATGATGACTCTGTCTGTACAATGTGCATGATACATTTGATGAGGGTAGGATGGAAGACAGGGAACCTGCAAGGAGGCTGTTGCAGGAAACCGGAGACAACTGTGGCCTGAGTTAGAACAGGGCTGAGGCTACATGGACGAATTAATAACCTTCCTAGTACATAAAATCAATGTGAATGTGGGGGCTGAGGAAAAGGGAAATTTTATTACACCCAGGTTTCTGGGTGAAGCACATGTGCGTGTGGTGGTAGCGGGGGGAGGTATGTGGGCAGTCCCTAAAATGTGTGCGTGTGTTAGTCGCTCAGTCGTGTCTCTTTGTGACCCCATGGACCGCAGCCTGCCAGGGTTCCTCTGTTCATGGAATTCTGCAGGCAAGAATAGTGGAGTGGGTAGCCATTCCCTTCTCCAGGGGACATTCCTGACTCAGGGATCCAACCCAGGTCTTCTCCATTACAGGCAGCTTCTTTACAGTCTGAGCCACCAGCACCACCTGGCAAGCTCAGACCCAAAGATGGAAAACTCCAAATACAGAGTCTTAGGAGGATGATTACAGGTCTCTGGGGAAAGGGAACTTCTAGTTCCTCCTTCCACCAAGGGAACCTTTTTTCCAGGTCTTTCCTGAAAGAGGAATACCAATCTGATGGGTTATGTTTTCCTGTGCCTTAGAAGCTCAAGCACATGGCTGGGCTCCCTCTTCCTACCAGCCATGCAGATTTCCTTCTCAAGGGGGGCCCAGCTACCAGTCTCTGTTCTCTGCTTGTACCGTTTACAACTGGCCACATGTCCAGGCAAGAATGGGTTTCCCTGGTGGCTCAGTGGATGAGATGCAGGAGACATTCGATCCCGGGAGAAGGAAATGGCAGTCCACTCCAGTATTCTTGCCTGGGAAATCCCATGGACAGAGGATCTGGCAGGCTACAGTCCAGGGGGTCACAAAAAGTCGGACACGACTTAACAACTGAACAGTAACAACCACCAGGCAAGAAAGGCAGATATCCCAGTTTAGTTTGAGCTTCTGGGCACAGGATAGGCTGTGCTTAGGCTGTGAGTTTTACCTGAAGGCTCTGCATCAAGGTATCAAGCACCATGTCAGCTAGTAGTAATAAAGGAACATACTCTTTTCTACTTGTTGTTTCTTGAAACTCTCTTGGGAAGTGGGTGAATTGGTAGGACAGAATTAGGCACTCTTGGTTCTTCTGACTTATTTTCCCCTCAATCACTTTACTTAGGTATGACTGATATTGTTGATATTTAATGTATACAAATTGATATGTTTGTGTGATAAGTCGCTCGGTCGTGTCCAACTCTTTGTGACCCATGGCCTATAGCCAGCCAAGTTCCTCTGTCCATGGGATTCTCCAGGCAAGAATATTAGAGTGGGCTGCCATGCTCTCCTCCAGATCTTCCCAACCCAGGGTTCAAACCCGCATCTCTTACATCTCCTGCATTGGCAGATGGGTTCTTAACCACTTGTGAACCCATCTTCACTACCATACCATTATCATCTCCAGGTTTCCTACTGTTCTGTTTGGATTCTGTGGGTTTTGGTTTTTTTGGAGGTAAGAGCATTTAACATAAGATCAATTCTCTTGGGACTTCCCTGGCAGTCCAGTGGTTAAGATTCCACACTACATTGCAAGGGGCACAGGTTCAATTCCTGGTCAGGGAAGTAAGATCCTCATGTCGTGTGGTTCTGCAGGAAAAAAAAAAAAATCTATCCTCTCAGCAAATTTTAAAGTATTGTTAAATCTGTATGCTGCACAGATTTCTAAGACATCTTAAAATGCTGTGAAAGGACTTCCCTGGTGGTCCAGTGGTTAAGAATCTGCCTTGCAATGCAGGGGACTCAGGTTCAATCCCTGGTCCAGGAACTGAGATCCCACATGCCACAGGGCAACTACTGAGCCTTCAGGCCACAACTAGAGAGTCCATGTGCAGTAACGGAAGATCCCACATGACACAATGAAGATTCTGATAGAGCTAAAGAAAGAAATAAATTTTTTAAAAAATGCTGAGAAAACCTCAAACATGAAACAATGATGAAATGAGGAGCCTGTGGCAGAGGCAGGTGCTCTAGCAGCTGCAAGCCACAACTATTGAGTCTCTGTGCTACAACTACTGAAGCCTGTGTGCCCTAGAGCTCATGCTCCACAATGAGAAGCCACTGCAATGGGAAGTTCACGCATCGCCACTAGAGAGTAGCCCCTGCTCACCACAACTAGAGAAAGTTGTTGAGCAGCAATGAAGACCCCAGCACAGACAAAAGTAAAAATAAATAAAAATTAACATAAAATGTGATTGTGCACATTATGGAAATGAGCCAGCAGACTAAGAGAAACTGATGTAGCAGAGAGGAATAATTGCAGGAGTTGTAGCCCCAGAGAGGGCAATGGGATCTCTAGCACAAACGGTCAGGCTTCCCTTAGGCACAGCCTTTTACTACAACATATAACAGGTGGGTCTGGGGATGGAAAGATGAGGTAATTCTCAGCTTGACTGCATCTGTTTTTCCATGACCTAAGAGGAGAAGTCATCAAGTGTTGGAAGGGAGCCAATTTGAGATAAGATTGGAAATAATTATCCTTAATAATGGGAAAATTAATAACTACCAAAGACATGTAGGAGAATCAAATAAATCATAAGTTAAATTCATGGTCACATTTAAATTAAGCACAGTGAAAAAAGTTAGATGATCTTCTCCAGCGAGGGTCAGCTGGTTAGTACAAGTAGGGATTAAGCGTATAGCTGGGTTTAACCAGTTGTGGAGTTTTGCCAGGAGAGGGAAGGGAGCTGCAATAAAGTGGAAAGAGCAGAAGTCTTTATAATCTAAGCTTGTAATAGTGAGAAAAGGACCAATGGCTGTACAATAAATCTTAGTAACTGTCCCTTCCTTTTCCCTTACTATTAAAAGTAGTATCTCACTATTACACACAGAATGTATATACAACAAGGTGGTACTGTATAGCACAGAAAAGCATATTCAATATCCTGTGGTAAACTATAATGAAAAAAATATATATATATACGTACAACTGAGTCACTTTGCTGTAGAGCAGAAATTAACACAACATTGTAAATCAACTCTACTTGAATAAAATAAATTTATAAAAAGAAAAGAGTGTCGACTGTGTGGAAGTTAGATTTTAAAAGGAGAAACTGGCTGCAGTTGGTTATGAGAAAAACATAGGTGGGACTTTCAGAAAAAGTGAAAAACTGAACCTGAGTCCCCACTTTCGAACTTGCAATAGCTCTACAGAGATCCAAAAAGTTATGGGGCCTTAATGTTAGCCAGAGCTCCAAACTCAAGTAGGAAACCTCCGTAATAACTCTTGTTAAAAGAATTACTCTCTGGTGCATTACTCTAGCACTGCCAAGAAGTGATTGTAAATCGTAGTTCTGAATAACAATCCAACATATCCCAAATAAAACGTACTGCACTTAGTGCTATAAAGATTTCCAAGGTGGACAGATGAGATCTCTGTTCAAGGCACTTAACATTCAGTAGAGAAGAGAACATAGCGATACAAATAACTAGAGTGCATGGTGGAAGCCTGCAAGAGTTCAGAAAAAGTACTTGAAATTACACTGCCTTAAAGGTGTGGAGGGTCCCTGGGATTACTGAGGCGGTGGACCTGTGGCCAAGGGAAGAAAGAGGAGGCGAAAAGAAAAGGTGCCAGGTCAGTGATGACATTTCAGTTGGACTGTGAAGAGTAAGTGGAAATTATTCATGCAGATAAAGGAGAGAGAAAGGGATCTGAGGCCAAAGGATCAGAATTAGCAAAGGCAGAAAGATGGACAAAGGTGCCAAGTGTTCACGCAGCAGTCTGGATGCTGCTGCCTTGGATAAAAGATTCCAGCCAGACTGCAAAAAAAATTAAGGGACTTAAACTAAGGAATTAAGACTTTGTTCATGAAGTATTGGGAAGCCATTAAATATTAATATTATAGCTCAAAAACATCTCCAGAGATAGTTCTTTATTCTTTAGCCCCAACTGGTACCTGGGTACTGATTATTTAAGTTAATTTAACCACTTAAAATATCTGTGAGGACTGATCTAAACATTCACTCAGTTTAAATACTACAGCTTGCAGAATAAATCTCGAGTATACTTCAATATTATGTGGGAAAACTCCACTAAATATACAGAACAATATATACATCCAGTACCGAATAGAACATTTTGCCCCAAACGTTTGGCAGTAACAGAGTCAAAGACCTCATCGGTTTTGAACAGAACACTACCACAACAATGACCAATAGACGAACGATCCTACTGAATCAGAGCTGAGTTATAAAAACTTATCCACGGGGGAGGTTCCCTAAAAATCACCCTTTCTTCCAGGCCTTCCATTCAAGTAGGAGGAAATTTTTGGACCTCTTAACAATTTACAGAACTGTTAGCTGTTTGGAGTTTTTCGCGACTGCCTATTAATTGGCGTTTAGATGCAGCATTCCTTTAGTTTTCTAAAGGGCCTGCGTTTCCTAACCGATGACCTGATAAATATCACAGTACTCCCAATAAAACCAAAGCAAACAATTTTGGAGGCGGGGATCTTTCTGAACCCCTGTAAGAGTCAGCCTCAACAAAGGTAAAAACTTTGACACCCTCTCGGTTTTGCACGGTTACTTGGACTCTTGGGTGATCTACCGCCCCCGGGCCGGGACAGTCGTCTCAGCCCTCGAAATTCCCGCTCGGTCCCCTCCCACAGCGTCTCAAAGAAGCCGCATATCCTAACCCCCCGTCACCGGCCCCGTACCCTCAGGTTAGCCCGGAGGCCCAGACTCTTGGCCAAGTTCTGCAGGTCACTGTACTTGAAGGAGTTCAGCTCCTCCAGGGAGGGAACGATCATGGCGAACTGCAATCCAGGCAACCACGCAGAGGTCCCGTACCTAACTCGCTAAAGCGCCGCTCAACGCTCTGGCGCCAGTCTAAGCGTTGACCAAACCGATATTTATAGAGAGTTTAAACTACGTAAGCTGCACTTCCATTGGTTAAAAATGCGTTAAAGGCGGGGTCTTTTGGTGCTGACCAATAGAATGGTTGACTTCCGTTCCACCTGACCCACGATCTCCTCCACACCTCCCCAACACCTAGGCGCCAAACGGCGTGTCCAGGCAACAAAGTGCGCGCAGAGTCCCCGGTTCACGTTGTCCAATGAGGACGCAGGAACCGAACTTGGGGCGGGGCCTGAATAGTCTGAAACGGCGGCGCCGGCTGCGGGAAGATGGCTGCTCGGCCGCGGAGGCGTATCTCTAGAATTGCAAAGCAGCCACGGGGTGACTTCTGTGATGGGGCTAAGAAGGCGATTGATGAACCTTCTTTTACGACTTCCATGGAGTGGGACACGCAGGTGGTGAAAGGGTCTTCGCCGGTCGGCCCCGCAGGGCTGGGGCTGGAGGAGCGGCCGTCCCGCCCGCGGCTGCCGCGATGGCTGCAGCCCGAGCGGTGCGCGGTGTTCCAGTGCGCGCAGTGCCACGCCGTGCTCGCTGACTCTGTGCACCTCGCCTGGGACCTGTCGCGGTCCCTCGGGGCCGTGGTCTTCTCCAGTGAGTGAGCGCGGCGCCTTCTCACTGGGTGACTGAGGCGGCTAGGAGGAAAGCGGGATGAAAATCTGGAAGGAAATTAACTCCTTTGCCAGGAGCGGGGGGCGAATAACTTTTTATGATATTCGTGGCCATGATGAGCCTTTCTGGCTGGCAGAGGCTTTCCCTTTCAGTGCCTCACAGATAGCCATTCTGACCTGTGTTTGCCTTCTAGGAGTCACAAATAACGTAGTTTTGGAGGCTCCGTTCCTAGTTGGCATTGAAGGCTCGCTCAAAGGCAGGTACGTACTGAAAATTCCAGAACTGTCTCTAGTTATTCCCTGACTTATTGAGGTTGAAGAGCGTGGAACCGACTTGGACAAGAAGTTTTTTCCTATCTTCCACTGGGAGAAAAGTCTGTACCGTTCATACAGTGTATTTGAAGGATGCTCCGTTTATCTGATTGTCTTGTACAAGCTTGATGTTTTAATTAAATGGAAAAGATATTTGTGTAAAGGTTTTAAGATCTTCTGAGGGCCACATTTCCCTCGTGGGTTGTGCCAGTGAAGTGAATTTAAGAAAATTATGTCTAGGGAATTCCCTGGTGGTCCAGTGGCTAAGACTCTGTGCTCCTGATACAGGGGGGCTGGGTTCGATCCCTGGTCAGGGAACTAGATCCCACATGCCACAACTAAGACTCTATGCAGCCAAATGAATAAAAATAAATGTTAAAAAAAGAAAATTATGTCTAGGAGGGGAAAAAAGGAGAAAATGATCTTTAAGTGTATAGTGAAAATCATTTTTTATAAACTACAATCATTTGACATAACTAGGAGTTATACACTTGCATTAAACCTGGAATTTGTAATAAACTACAGCAGAACTAATTCTGCTGTAACCTAGGAACCTGGAGAAAAACAGAGGTTGAAAGTTATGTCCTTGAATACTGCCTGGTGAACTTTGTGTCGTGTCTGTACTGTGATTTAGAAGTGACAACAAGGTACTCAGTGAATTCAGTACAGTTCAGTTCAGTCGCTCAGTCGTGTCCGACCCTTTGTGACCCCATGAATCGCAGCACGCCAGGCCTCCCTGTCCATCACCAACTCCCGGAGTTTACTCAAACTCATGCCCATCGAGTCGGTGATGCCATCTAGCCATCTCATCCTCTGTCATCCCCTTCTCCTCCTGCCCACAGTCCCTCCTAGCATCAGGGTCTTTCCCACTGAGTCAAGTCTTCGCATGAGGTGGCCAAAGTATTAGAGCTTCAGGATCAGTCAGTCCTTCCAATGAACACCCAGGACTGATCTCCTTTAGGATGGACTGGTTGGATCTCCTTGCAGTCCAAGGGACTCTCAAGAGTCTTCTCCAAAACCACAGTTCAAAAACATCAACTCTTCGGCCCTCAGCTTTCTTCACAGTCCAACTCTCACATCCATACATGACTACTGGAAAAACTATAGCCTTGACTAGACGGACCTTTGTTAGCAAAGTAATGTCTCTGCTTTTTAATATGCTGTCTAGGTTGGTCATAACTTTCCTTCCAAGGAGTAAGCATCTTTTAATTTCATGGCTGCAGTCACCATCTGCAGTGATTTTGAAGCCCCCCAAAATAAGATCTGACACTGTTTCCACTGTCTCCCCATCTATTTCCCATGAAGTGATGGGACCAGATGCCATGATCTTAGTTTTCTGAATGTTGAGCTTTAAGCCAACTTTTTCACTCTTCTCTTTCACTTTCATCAAGAGGTGTTTTGTCTTATATACTAGCAAATAAGGTAAATTAGTTACTCAAATGGTTTAAATAGAACTAAAACCACATTTCCTGATTCCTTATCTTTTAGAGGATAAAGGAAAATACAGTAGATGACTTGCTAGGATCATACAATTTCTTTCTTTTTCATTTTGTCTGGGTAATTTTTTTGTTGTTACATCTGCAAAAAAATCCTGATTTGCATTCTATTAATAAATTGCTTAATAAGCCCTAGTCAACTTGACTGTTTTACTTCAACTGAAAATTGACTTGATGGTGGCTAATTTATATGGTTATATATAGTTTTATATGTTTAAATGTTAATCTGGTTAGTTAGCTCTTTTTCTGCTTTTCAGATATAAATTACTTTAGTGAAGTGACAGTTGTGTATCCATGATTGCTTTTGTAGCCAGAATTCACAAAGTTATCTGTCATTTAGGGTGTAATTAACCTTTCTTGAATGTGACATTTCTTCAGTCTCATTCCTATTATAGTCTAGCTTTTAGGAATGAGTCCAGAGACATTATTTTGTATTTGTTCTCTGATTTTTTTTGTTACTCATATCCTGTTTTTTTTTCCTCCAGCACTTACAACCTTTTATTCTGTAGTTCCTGTGAGATTCCCATTGGATTCCACCTATACTCTACCCATGCTGCCTTGGCTGCCTTGAGAGGCCACTTCTGCCTTTCCAGTGACAAAATGGTGTGGTAAGTAGACTTACATTTTCTTCAGCAAATAAATTTTAAAACATTTTCCAGAAAAGGCAGAATGTTTGTATTAGAGAAGATGCTAAAGCCAGGTGCTATACTGCTCTTACAAAAAAAAGATGGCAATGGGACCAAAATATAGTCTCATAATATATGACTATTGTAAATGTCTCATAATACTACCATGTGTTGATAATCATACTGTGAAGATATTCTTTCATTCTAGGACCTTTTGGAAGGGAAGTTTTTGCAAAATAATGCTGTGATAAACACTTTTCAAGTTCGTACCCAGCCTCTGTTTGCCTCCCACAGTGCAGGACCTTGTGGGCATATCTGTATCCTGTGTGATACTACTCCCAGGTGATGGGATAAGGAAGAGACCTGACCTAAGTAAAAAATAATTATCATGTGGCCTTATAAAGTCAGAAAAAGTTCCCTATTGGTTGTTCCTTCTTATGAATTACTTTAGATATTTCTTATATTTCTAATTATAAATTCTACTTTTTGTTAAGCTTTTCTGTTATTTCAACAAATTGAAACATCCATCAAAGTTTTTTCATTATCATTAGAAACAAAAACAACCATTGATGACCAGGTGCTATGCTTCCCTCAATGTGTTTTTAAGAAAATGTGATTGGAGATGTGGAGGAGCTGAGATTTGAGTCCATGTCTTAACTCCAAAGCCTGTTTTTTCATTCATAAAACAGAAGTTTCCTTCTCTTTTTAATGCGCTTTGATAAACCCCTTTATCATGAGGTTCTTCAGTGCACATTTTTAACAGGAAATATGTTCTTGAGATGGATTGGGATTTCTTTCATTATCTAGATCATTCTTAAATAATTTTTATTTAGAATTAGGTTTAAAGATATGAGGAAAAGTATCTCTAAATGTATGCTGTTAATAACCTCAAATTTTTTTTAGAAACAGTTATAAGGAATTACTTTAGCACAGTTGTAATTGAGTTTTTGCTTAGGGAAGTAAGCTTTTAGTAACAAAAAATTTTAATATAAATTTGAAAAAACTATTGATTTTAAGTAATGTCTTAAGTCTTTAAAATGAGGAACTGGGCTCAAAGGTCAGTACATTCTTTTTGATTAAGTAGAAATCAGGAAGACTAGATACATGTATAACTAAATCACTTTGCTGTACCCCAACACAACATTGTTAATCAACTATAGTCCAATATAACATAAAAATAATAAAAAATTTTAAGAAAGACATTAGTATAGTAGCCTGAGTCTGGGACTATGATACATCTGTGTCTGTGGGTATTGGAATGAATTTGGTTGCTAGTAACAGAAAACCTAAGAGTGGCTTTAAGAACAGGGTGGGACAGTCGGCTACTCCACGATTGTCCTAGCAGCTCAGCCATGATAGAGCTGTGGGTTAGCATCGCTGGTTCTCATGGCCTTTTTCTCTTGGATGCTGCAGGTGTTAAACATCACATCCATAAATAGTAGCATCCAGAACTGAAAGGAAAAGGATATGGAAAGTGTGGGAATGCAGGGAATAGGTCCCTTAAGCTGGGAAAGCAGCTATGTGACAGTAGGGAGTAAGATTTTCAGAGTTAGTTAGCCTAGAACAGGTATGATTCATCTCTTAGGACTGGGCACACTGCTGCCCTAAGCAAAATCTGCCTTCTGTTAGCAAGAAAGCCTTGAGGAATGGCTGTTGGGTAGGCACCCAACAGTGTTTGTCACAGTGTGATTACTTTCCTTCTAACTGTGCTACACAGTCTACTGGTGGTGTGTGAGGCCTACACTCATTACAGTTATTCATGTGACCCTGGTTTTCTGGCTTTAGTTTGTCCTGGGATAATTTTGACTAGTGGATTCCAGGCTGGAAAGGGGTGAGATGAGGCATAGGGTCTCTCTGATGACTTGGTAATTGAGAATGTTTTTCCTGCGAAATACATTATGAATCTAGAAATGGGTATCAGGAAGAAGGTAATCTTTGCTTGACAGGTATGGCAAGTTTGTTTCTTTGATCATCATAACTGTGGTATGGTACTAATGTTTTCTCTTTATGCTTTCTATCTAGCTACCTCTTAAAAACAAAAGCCATCATAAATGCATCTGAGATGGATATCCACATCATCCCTCTAGCAGAAAAGGTTGCAGAGGTAAATTTTCATCATGGTTGTGTTTTCTTTAATATAGACAGTTCCTGGTAATCTGTACCCATGAACTTAGGGATAGTGAAATGGTCGATACTCTTATAATTCTTTATACTTGGTTTGGCATTCCTTATTGAATCTGTGGTATAAAGTAAAATAGTGAAGCCATATTGTCAGGTTTGGTTCAGGAGGAGGTGGAGAGCTGCTGAGCTCCACATTCCTATTCTTCCTTTCTGTGCTGGGTATGGACTGTCATCCTTCATAAATCTGACCTCCTTGCAAGCACTTTAAGCTTAGATATCTCAGAGGAAAGAGTGTTGAAAAGCGTTATTAAGGGTTCTTATTTAAATGGGTTTTACTAGTGTTTGATGGCTTTGAGTTGAAGAAAGCAGGTTTGTTTTGGTAGCTTGCTGACTCATTCTAAATAGAAATTTGGCTATTACTTTACTACCCTCAAGAACAACCTTAGAACTTACTGTTGGTTTTGTTTTTAGCACTCTTAATAGTTTATTCCTTGGTAATTATACATTTAGTAACCAGGGCATTTATTTTTCAGAGTTTAAGTACTTTCTAGGATAGAACAGTGTTTTATTTTTCTTTTTTGTACAGTTAACTAAGCTTATGAAACCATGTTCTAAGCCAGGAATTGGCAAACTTTTTCTGTAAAGGATCAGATGACAAATATCTTAAGCTCAACCATGATGTCTCTGCTTTTCAGTTCTGCTATTGTAGTACAAAAGCAGCCATAGACAATATATAAAATATGGATATAGTTTTCTTGGAATAAAACTTTATTAAAACAGATGGGCAGCAGGTTACCACACAGTCCATAGTTTGCCACACCTTGTTCTGAGCAACTGAGTTGGTGAGCAGGATCAGTAAATACTGTGATTAGAAATACTTTGTATGGGAGATAACTTCTGAAATGGCCTGAGTAACTCCATGGACCCCCCTGCCCAACAAAACTGCCATAATTGAAGAAAATAGCTACCTTACGTCTGTGGAAATTTCTTTCAAGGAATAAAGCAAATGAAGAGATATTCAAGAAAGTCTACGAAACCTTGGTAAGAGCAGTGAAAGCCTGTGGCATTAGAGCCACAACCTGCTCCCTCTCTCCCTCTGCTGCATCTCCAGCTCAGAGGGAGGGAGACTTCATCTGGGCAGATATAGCCAAGAACACAGGGGTCCTTTTCCCCTAGCTGTCAGCTTCGGGCTGTGGTATCTTCCCAGGAGGGGCAGGCTAAATATCAGCCTTTCTCATTAGAAGCTCTATTCTAGGCAAGAACGGGCATTTGTAGTCTGCAAGTTTTGCCAAAGCCACAGTAGGGTAAAAGTGCTAACCTGCTGAGTCCTTTGCCCCAGCATGCTTGTAAGGCAGACACTTCATGCTGACAGAGGCAAGCAGAAAAGACCAGAAGCTACCTCTGTCCAGGACCCTGCTGGTAGAGCAGAGGTGTTATTCTGAGAGACACTATCTCCACCCTAGCTTGACAGCCCATAAAAAAAGGCAGATTATTTTTTTAAAAAAAGGTAGCTGTGAATCTCTTCCAGAGATTTAACTTTATTTGGAAGAGTATGGGCATATTCAAATCTAAGGATGCTGCCCAAAACAATGGAGATTTTGTTGGTGAGCAACTAAGAAGATTGGTAGTCTGTGTGAACAAAAAGCTAAACCTTAGACAAGTTAAAAATTTATAAGAGACTCAGGGAAACAGACAGCTAAGAAGAGCCCTCTGGGGTTAGAACAAAAGAAGACTGGCCTTAAAGGCTACCCATACAAATGGGTTTGATTTTTAATTGGATTAGCTATGGAGCAATTTGTGTCCCAGGGCACTATTCAAAATAGATCAGTCTTGTCTGGCTCCACTGCAGCCCGCCAGGCTTCACTGTCCATGAGATTCTCCAGGCAAGAATAGTGGAGTGGGTTGCCATTCCCTTCTCCAGGGGATCTTCCCAACCAAGGGATCAAACCCACATCTGCATCGCAGGCAGATTCTTTACCCAGTGAGCCATCTGGATGGAGTTAGGCAGGTGTTTAATAACCCAAGTTGCTACAATATATTATCTGAAATGTTTGTTTTTCGGGACTTCCCTGTGGTGTAATGGTTAAGAATCTGCCTGCCAATGCAGGGGATGTGGGTTAGATCCCTGGTTTGGGAAGATCCCACATGCTGCAAGGCAGCTAAGCCCATGTGCCACAGCTACTGAAGCCTAAGCACTCTAGAGCCTCTGCACAACTAGTGAAATCTGCATGCTCTAGAGCTGGAGCTCTGCAACAAGAGACACCACAGCAATGAGAAGCCCATGTACCACAACTGGCACTGCAACTAGAGAAAGCTTCCCTGCAGCAACAAAGACCCAGCACAGCTAAAAATAAAAAAGTCTGGTTTTCAATAAAAGATTAGGAGATGTGCAAAAAAAAGTATGACCCATACACAGGATAAAATACAGGCATCAAAAACTGTTTGAAAAGGCCCAGATGTTGAGACTTCACAAACGAAACCTTCAAAGTAGCAGTTAAAAAGATGTTATTGTTTTTAGTTGCTCAGTTGTGTCCCATTCTTTTGTGACCCCTTGGATTCTAGCCTACCAGGTTCCTCTCTCCATGAGATTTCCCCAGCAAGAATATTGGAGTGGGTCAACATTTCTTTCTCCAGGGGATCGTATTGGCAGGTGGATTCTTTGCCACTGAGCCAGGGAAGCCCTAAAAATATGTGCAAAAGGCTAAAGGAAACCATGCTTAAAGAAGTAAAGGAAGGTATGGGGCTTCCCTGGTGTCTCAGTGGTGAAGAATCTGCCTGCCAATGCAGGAGACACAGGTTCAGTCCCTGGTCTGGGAAGATTTCACATGCTGTGGAGCAACTTAGCCTGTGCGCCACAACTGCTGAAGCCTGTGCACCATAGAGCCCATGCTCTGCAATAAAAGAAGCCACCGCAGCAAGAAACATGTGTACCGCAACTAGAGGAAAGCCCGTGCAGCAAGAAGACCCTGCACAGCCAAAAATAAATGTTTTTTTTTTTTTTTTAGTCTTTCATACAATTTTATCCTCCCGCAGCACCGGCGTCATCCGCCATTTGGTGTTTTCACGAAGAAGAGCAATTTTTTTTTAAAGACTTAAAAAGAAGTAAAGGAAGGTCTGATGAGTGTCTCATTAAATAGAGAATGTTCCTAAAGAGAAAAAAGAAAGCCTAAATGGAAATCCTGGAATTGTAAAGTGCAATAAATAAATGAGAATTTCAGTAAAGTGGCTCAACAACACATTTGAGCTGATTGGAGAATCAGCAAACTTGTAGACAGATTGATGAGATTTGCAATCTGAAGGGGAGAGAAAGAATGAATGAAGGAAAATAAAGTAGCTTAAGAGATTTGTTGGATACCATAAGCATGCCTAAATATGCTTCAGTAATGGGAGTACAAAAGGCAGAGGAAAAAGAAAAAATGTTCAAGGAAATAATGGTTAAAAACTATCTGAATTTGATGAAAAACAATTTACATGTCTAAGACCTCGATAAACCTCATTTATCAGGTAAGATAGATGCAGAGAACTATACCCAATATGGCATTGGCAACCCACTCCAGTATTCTTGCCTAGAGAATCCTAGGGATGGGGGAGCCTGGTGGGCTGCCATCTATGAGGTCACACAGAGTCGGACATGACTGAAGCGACTTAGTAGTAGTAGTATACCAAATACACAGCAAAAATGTTGAACATTAAAGACTGAAAAAAAAAATCTTGAAAGTAACAAAAATGATTATGTCCAGGGGCACCCAAGTAAGATTAATGGGCTCTACAGTGACCTGCTTAAGCAAAACTTCCCGATGTATTTTGAGTATTCTTGTATCTTGAATTATAAAAAGTAGATTTGTGCTATGTCAGAAATAAGTTGGGTGTTTTCTTTTCCTTTTTTTTTTAACTAAGACTTATCCATGGTAACTTCATGCAACTGGGTAACAACCATTAAGTTTGGTTTTAGATATGGCTATTCTGAGCTGGGGAAAAAAAAACAAACTACTGAAAATCATCTACCAGAAACATCTGTGCTAAACCTGACAACCAGAGCTACCTTTGAAGGCCATTAGCAATTAAAGACAGACATATGTTACTGTGAATAAGAATTTTAAAAATTCTTGCTGCTGGAAAAAAGAGGGAAAGACTGATTAACGCTTCTGTCTCCACAAGCTTTCTGATCGCACTTTATTCTTTTCTTCCCAAGTTTCAGAGTTAACACTTACCTGGTGATAAGGGCTAGGAAGGAAGGATACCAGAAGTAGCAATGCTCAGCATCAGTGACTGGTCTTTTTTCACAGGAAACTTTGTATCTGTAACCTTACTGTGCTCTAGGTTTGTTGTATAAAGTCCTTTCATAATAGAACAAATGTACTTATGAAATGTGTTGTAATATTACCAGCTCCCAATTACTAGTTTTAATCTGAAGTGGCTTCTAGAATCAGATTGAAAGTTAAATTTAAGATGCCCTGATATCTATATTTCTCTTTCCAGCTGAAAGAGAAGATAATGTTAACACATACCCGCTTAAATTCACTCATGAAAATTCTGAAAGAAGTGCCTCCTGACCAGTCCAAGCTAACAAACTAATTCAGAATCAGAGGTTGAGGATCAGAGGCAGGCCTTATTGCTGTCTTCAACAACAGGTGCTGTTTGATCACTTCTCAAGAAACATCAAGAATGGACAGGAAATGTGGTTTATTATGTTTACCTCTAGACTGATTTTCCAAGTGATTTGTGAAGCTGTTTCTAGAAGATGAGAAACAGGAGACTTCTGTCCAGGTTTCATAGCTATTTGCCTTAATTTATTTTGGCTTCTTATCAATTTCATAATATTTATTTTTGAAAACATTCTGATTGCAAATTTAAGAATTAAGAGCCAATGTTCCATGAATGCTCTGATCTAAAGATGCATGACTGGCCTGAAAATACAGTTGTAGTTATGTTGATTAACTATTATTCCTACATGGAGCAATTGTCATATGAATACTGAGAAATCATTTTTCTCTTACATGAAATACAAGTACATACATATTTCTGTAGGTAATGTTCAACAAGTTAACTCCATAATATATATTTATCTTGACCTTTTCAGTTTACAACTGAAAAGGAATAATAATAACAGGATAGTAATGAAAGGAATGATAAAAACACCAAATATTCACCGAATGCTATTTTCTCATTATTTTACTTTATGTAGCACTGTGATTCAATAGCTTATCATGTTATTCATTTAATAGCTATAAAATATTACGCTAGCTGCTAGAAATAAGCAAAAACCGCTATTCTGTATCTTCGGAGCTTATAATCTAGTTAGAGATGGACATTTAAATAACCACGTGAAGGCATTTAAAATTACAACTGTAGTAAGGGTTTTGAAGAAAAGGAACATAGAGCAATAAACACATATAGCAGGTAACTGACCTGGTTTGGGGGTCAGGGAAGGTCTTTCTGTTGAAGTGTTTCAGCAGTGGTCTGAAAGATTAGGAGTTAATAAGCTTATAGAGGGAACGGCTTATATGAAGGCCCTGTGAGGCCCTTAAAAAGACATGTAGGAGTTGTAATAGTGTCCAGAAACCAGAGGCCGCAAAGCCTTACTGGCCTCCTGAAGGATATTTGTTTTTATCCCAACAACAATGAAAAGCTCTTGGAAGAATTTTAAAGGAGGAAGCCTATGACAGAATCAAATTTTCTTTTTCAGAATCTCATTATGGTTGTCCTGTGAAGAACCTAGAGGGAGGCAAGCAGACCTAGAGGGGCTGGCGCTAGTACAGTCCAGTCAAGAGATGATACAGCCAAGGGGTGGTGTGCAGACAGGGTGACATGGTTCAGACATGGCAAGTAGATTTAATAGCAAGTTCTTTCCCTTTTTGACTGCATAAAGGGTATTTTCCTTTAAAAATATCTGAGGGAAAATTCCAGCTTGCTTTATGCTTTACAGTTTGCAAAATTTGGTTAAGTAAGGAGGAAGCCTCTGGCAACAAACAGTACCAGAAAAGCTCTATTCCTGAAGATTGAGACCCAGTAATAGTCTATTGAATCATCCTGGGGTTTGTACTGTGTATGGGTATGTCTACCTCAACATATTTAATCTAAATTAAGCTCATCTTATGTAGCTATTTTCCTTAACTTTGGATTTGCTGTTTTGATAAACTTTCAATGGAAAATTAAATGCCTGAACTTGACATCTAATTAAGATAGCTGACTTTAAATTTTTTTTCCCAAATACAAATCACATGTTTACTCTAGAATCAAAGTCAGATATAGTAGATGTATGTCAAAGTAAAGTACACTCTCCCTTATATTTTTGAGAGGCACAGTAGAGCAATCTGGAAGCCAGATGATTTGGATTCAAATTGTGGCTTGGGTACGTATTAGCCATGAACTTGAAGAATTAAACTCTTCTTTTAAAATAGGGGTTAAAAGCTAACTAGGGCTACAGTGAGGATTAAATGAGTTACTGAATACATCTAATGTAATTAAGAGTAGTGCTTAATAGTAAATGCTTAATAAATGCTAATTATTATAACTTTAATTCATATGGACAGACATAACAGGTTGCATTATTCTGCAACCTGCTTCTTGTATAGCACATGTCACAGTTTTCTATACCAGGCCTCACCAGTTACTTAACACTTACATATGATTCAGTCATATGAATGCATCAGAATTTAACCATCCCTATACTGGACCCTTGTACATGTCTTTGCCTATCTGTCCAGGTTTTTCTGTAGGAACAATTCCTAAAGTGAACAGAGTCAAAGGGCATGTTCATTTACAATTTTGGTATATGCCTTTTATAAATGTTGTATTAACTGATAGTCACAAATGACTGACTTTTAAACAAGCCTTAGTGGTATAAGAGCTCCTCTGGGAAGTCTAACATCAATGACTGGCTGATATTAATAGACTCTGTAAAGATATCATTTAGCATTGTATATATGTTGAATAAAAGTATTTTCAAAATTCCATGTACTTAAGACTTCCCTGGTGGTCCAGCGGTTGTGACTCTGTGCTTCCACTGTGGGGGACATGGGTTCAACCCCTGGTTGGGGAACTAAGATCCCACATGCCACATGGTGCACCCAAAAAGTAAAAAAAAAAAAAAAAAAAAAAAATCCACGTACTTATAAGAACAAAAAAATTGCATATTGAAGGTTCCCAAGTTGTTCACTTTCAAGCTCCTCAATTAATGGCAAAAACCATCTCAATTTTGTTAACTCCACCATCTAGCATAGTACCTGGGAGTAGAATGTATCACTGTGTTAAATGAAGTCTCATAAATCAAAGGAAGGAACTACTACATTAGTTGTCACATCACAAAAACCACATAGCTTGTTCTTCATTTCTTAACAGCCAAATCTCTAAGGAAGCTTGTAACATCTACTTTCTTAAATTTGAAATAACTTCCTTCCCCTGAACCTAGGAGCTATCTTAGTGTTAAAACCTCTATTTAACTTTTTAAAGTTAAATATAAAAGCATCTTAAATGTTTTATATATTTCATATAGGATGGATTGTCTGCAATAATTTTATCATTACTGGACTTTGCTCACTTATTTCCTTACCAGAAACTACACATTTGCTCCTAGACCTAGCATAAAGTTTGCCCTAAATTTAGGTTAAAAAGGGGGATGGCATAAGGGCGTACTTTAAATGTGGTGCCTCTTTATTGATATGGTTACCTGTTTTTTCCTTGAACTACACCAGAAACTGCTACAAGTTGATATCAAGAAACCCAGGTCCTTTGTTTTCTTTGCCATCTAGAGCCTGCCTCAGCACAGGTCTGTGAAAAGCCCCTTCTTCAGTCTCCATAATGTACTGCGTCATTACAGTTACCCATTCCAAATAATAAGAGTGAAACTTGAGTGCATTCTCAGCCCATGCTGCTTTATTGCCAAAATATATATGTACACAGGTGCAGAGCTTTTAACTCTCACAGCAGTTCCTTCTTACAGCAAAGAATAAAATTTCATCTACAGTCCCAAAGATGCATAGATTAGAAAGCAAGCGGCCTTTTGTAAAACTCCAGTCAATGAAAGTCTTTTAACATTATCTCATATACCATGGGAGGGAGAAGATGCTGAACAGTAAGTAAAAACAAGCTACTGAAGTAAGTCTATGTGAAGGTTATTCTAATATGAATCTTTTAAAATTACCAGTGATACATGGTTTTAAGGTAAGGGTCAAAACATTACTGTTGCTTAAGGACTGATGATAATTTATTGCCAGAATACTTATCCCTGGGAGAAAAACATTTTAATCTCTGGTGTGGCACAGCATCATCACCAAAGGAGACAAAATCTTTTGAAAATTCTAACCTTAACATATCTATTCTGACTTGAAGGTTTAGAAGTATGAGTTCCTAGAGAAATCTGTGATGTTTGGATTTCTAATGTTAACATTTTAATATGCCCCAGTGGAATAATGGAAACAGATTAGAGAAACTCTGTCCTTCAATCTTTACTGGTTTGTTTGGCAGACATGTTACTGGTAAGTATCAAAGAGAAACTTTACATATGGGATATGACATTTCACTTCCTGAACTGAGTGAAATGACTATTAGTAATTCAGTTTTTAACTACTGGAAAGTTATCCAGGTATTTGGATATCAATTTGGATATCAAGGTATTTGGAATCAAATCCCACAGCAAGGATTAAAATCAGGTTGAAATAATTTTGGAAAAAATATTTTTCAATCACAGAACATGAAACTGGATGGTGCCTAGTGAAAACCAGTCTAATCCTGAATTCTCTTCTACTTAGGCCTCTTTCAGATACAATGAATCCTATTTGTACATTCGTCATGATCACATGTTCTTACAGGGGTTATTTCAAAATGTCTATTTTCTACATCAAGAAAATAAATGACAAGGTTTTTCTTCAGAATGGGAAAAATTGCTCCTTTTTACCTGGCATAAAAAAACTTTAGGCAACAAATTATGCAGTCTAACCAAAATATTAAGGATAAAACTGGCTATAAAACTTTTCTTTGAAAATTTGAAAACAGGAACAACAGAAACCAAACCACAGATGTATGTCTATTTTAAGGACTATTTCCATAAAATGTAAAGGGCTCCTTTGCTGGAAGGAACTCTTATGGCTGGTTAATAGCAGTACCATCCAAAGAGCTGCCCAGTTACCTGAAAATCCTGGAACATCTGAAATACGTGCATTATTGTTTCTATTCACTTTCAAGATTCTAGTCGTAAAGAGATCCAAACGTAAGCCACATAAACTTTTATCAGACAAATCCCATTCCTGATTACTTTACATCTTCCACACTGGCACTCCATACCCTTTCTGAAACTCTGCACCTGATTAGAACCACAGCAGCTTGTTTGTTTATTCAACATGCTTAGTTTGTGCCTTTTGTTTTTAAACATGCTTGGGGACTAATGGAAGCAGGCGAGAGGTTAGAGGGTGAGCACTGTTATGCTCTATTCCTGACAGTCTGAATGTCTTGTGGTTGCCCCTGTTTATCTTCTAGCTCCCATTTTCAATGGAAGAAAGTCTTTACTTAGAAAATGAAAACTAATGATCCAAATAATAATTCAAGATAGTGGTTTAAGTCTCTATTGCTTCATTACT